TCGCTACCTATTTATATCTATGTTTATGTTTATATCGGGTTATATGACCATCGGCAGTCTTCGGAGGTCACCTTGGTGGTTAATTAGATAGCGTCTAGACTAAAATACACACGAAATGCTGATACATATTATCGAGTCTTTACATCATAAATTGTTTACTTTAGCCTTTTTATTATTTGGATACGCGTTTAAGTATGTTATAAATCAAATAAGAGAATTTGAGTGAAATCGGTGAACATGAATTGACAGCTAACGCCCCTTTAAAAGGGTATTAGCTACGAGATATGAAAAAAAAGAGTATGATTATTTTGTTATTGTTCAATCATTAATAAAAGTGAAATAATGAAATAATAATTCGCATTTAGCAGCCAATTTGGTTCAATTTTGTCAAAATAAGCAAAGAAACATCGCTGATGAATTATTCACTTGCAAGTGAATAATTCGACCTCATTGAACCCGTATTCATGTGACCTTCAATATAACCCCTTAGCTAGAGATTTGTTACGCATGTATTAGTCGTATTCAGCCATTAAAAAGAAAAGAATGTCGACATTGAAAGTGAAACAAAGGTGAACCACTTCGTTGACTGATTCGATCCACACAAAAAATCATTCTTATAAAACCCAAATTTTGCATCATTTATTTGTGCATATATATACACAGACATGGGAATAAATGGGAACTTTACTTCAGTGTGTATAGATATAGAAGGTTATCTAGCTAATTCCTGTTTGGGAGGCCAGTGCCAAAAGAAAGAATTGGAACAATAAGTTCTAATTTTCCTTAAATATAGAATGTTAAAGGATGTACTTTACCTATAGTTGCTAATCTGTACGCCTTGTGGTCTCTGGTTGAAAGTTGTCTCGTTGGCATTCATACCAATCTTCGTATTTTTATTCTTATAAGCCTGGGTTGCACACATGACATTTCTTGCGCAGTGGAGAATGAAACATATTATGAAAATTTAAAATATAAACAAGAGGCTCCCAAGAGCTTGAATCGCTCACCTGCAATTTTTTGCTTAAATTTTTCATCAATGATTATTTTTGCTTTTTAATATATATTAATGAGTGGCTTAAAAATTCCATTGAGATGTTCTTTGTATCTGTCATATTTTCTTCAAAAGCAAAGAAATACATTTTACCCCTATGTTCCATTTTAGCCATAGTGGATATGTTTCTTGACGTACTAGAAAAAATAAAATACAAAAGTTATACTAAATACTCTGAAACTCATTCAGCCCAAATTTGGCTGAAATTGATTCAGCAGTTTCAAAGGAGAAGATTTTTTAAAGTAAGCAAACTAGATGAACAAATTGAACCAAAAACTGCAAAATTCCTTAAAATTACCAATTTAGTGGCAGCAACCCAACAATGGACTGTTAGATTCGTCTGAAAATTTCATGGCTGATAGAACTTTGCCTAATGAACATTTTAACCTCTCATCAGATTTGCTCTAATTGCTTAAGTGTTTGAGATATATTAGCCAAAAACTGCATTTTACCCCTATGTTCTAATTTTAGCCATGACGGCCATGTTTTTTGACGAAACAGAATCTTTATTCTAGATACCATAAGAATCATTCAGCTTAAGTTTGGTTGGAATTGGTTCAGTAGTTTCAGAGGAGAAGATTTTTTAAAGTTAGAAAACATGATAAACAAATTGTGTAAAATTGTCCTCAAAGGGCAATACTCCTTAAGGGGTCAATTGACAATTTTGGTCATATAAACTTATTTGTAGATCTTACTTTGCTGAACATATTTGCTGTTTGCAGTTTATATTTATCATTAATATTATTCCAGATAATAACAAAAAAATGCAAAATTTCCTTAAAATTACCAATTTAGTGGCAGCAACCCAACAATGGGTTATCAGATTCATCTGAAAATTTCAGGGCTGATAGAACTTCACCTAATGAACACTTCTACCCCTGTCAGATTTGTTCTAACTCCTTTGTTTTTTTTAGATATAATCCAAAAACTGCATTTTACCCCTATGTTCTATTTGTAGCCATGGTGGCCATGTTTTTTGACAAAACAGAAAATAAAACACAAACTTTATTTTTGATACCCTAAGGATCATTCAGCTTAAGTTTGGTTGGAATTGGTTCAGTGGTTTCAGAGGAGAAGATTTTTTAAAGTTAGAAAACAACGTTTAAACCCGCTGCATTTGTTTGCACCTGTCCTAAGTCAGGAATCTGATGTTCAGTAGTTGTCGTTTGTTGATGTGGTTCATAAGTGTTTCTCGTTTCTCGTTTTTTATATAGATTAGACCGTTGGTTTTCCCGTTTGAATGGTTTTACACTAGTAATTTTTGAAGCCCTTTATAGCTTACTATTCGGTGTGAGCCAAGGCTCCGTGTTGAAGACCGTACTTTGACCTATAAAGGTTTACTTTTATAAATTTTGACTTGGATGAAGAGTTGTCTCATTGGCACTCATACCACATCTTCTTATATCTGTGATAAACAAATTGTGTAAAATTGTCCTTAAAGGGCAATAACTCTTTAAGGGGTCAATTGACAATTTTGGTCATTTTAACTTATTTGTAGATCTTACTTTGCTGAACATATTTGCTGTTTACATTTTATCTTTATCATTAATACTATTCAAGATAATAACCGAAAACTGCAAAATTTCCTTAAAATTACCAATTTAGTGGCAGCAACCCAACAATGGGTTATTAGATTCATCTGAAAACTTCATGGCTGATAGAACTTTACCTTAAGAACACTTCTACCCCATGTCAGATTTGCTCTAACTGCTTTGGTTTTTGAGATATAAGCCAAAAACTGCATTTTACCCTTATGTATTATTTTTAGCCATGGCGGCCATGTTTTTTGACGAAACAGAAAATAAAACACAAACTTTATTCTAGATACCCTAAGGATCATTCAGCTTAAGTTTGGTTGGAATTGATTCAGTAGTTTCAGAGGAGAAGATGTTTGAAATAGTTTACACCAGACGGACGACGACGACGGACGACGACGGACGCCAAGTGATGGCTAAAGCTCACCGTTCCTTCGGAACGGTGAGCTAAAAACAGCACGTTATAAATTTCATGCGTCCGAAGCGCTTTTCTGGATTTCCTGTCATCAGGAATGCTCAAAGCCGAATATATGAAAGCCATGTGTGTATAAGAACCGAAACAGTTGAAGAGCTATATGACCAAATAAGGGCATAAAAAACAGCCAAAACCATCTAAGATCAACTTTGAATTAACATACGAAAATATTATCTGTGAAGTTTCAAAGATCCGGACTGACAACACAAAATTTTAATGGCTTTTAACAGAAAGTGGTGTAGTATTTTTCCATAATGCTATGATAATTTAACATTATGCCTACTTAAGGTGGTTCATCGCTTAATATTTCCTCAGATGACTTTTCTTATAATTTTCCGAAATGTAGATTTTATCATGCTTTATAAAAAAAGATAAAAAGCATGTGTCACTGTGCTATTTTTCAAGCTACAAGATGTGCAAAATTGCTCAAATTTGCATAGACCACTCATATGTCACATTTTTTTGTGAATAGAAAGAAATCTATCCATAAAATAGTGCTACCTTTTGTAACCATTAACTTTATGTAATATCCATATAAGGTAAGGATTTTTTTACATTAATCTAATGGTAACAAAATGTGTTCGAAGCGGAGACGGTCGTGACATTCTTTATCCACCTTCAGAAGCAAAACCGATGAGGCGAGAACAATAGTACAGTCACTCTTTTTACCTGTTACTATATACATATATGCTGACTTTAAATAAAATTTACTTACTTACTTACTTAAGATAAAGTTGAGAAAATCAATAGTAAAACAATGTCGGTGATGATACTGATTAAAAGTTATTTCTAAAAAAAAACAATCGTACATGTTTTAAGTGTTTATCCTTGCTACATATCAATCGATTTCTTTGAGAAAAAAAATCCTGAACTACTCTGATCTAGCAAGCTTCATACATACACGGATAATCGGCATGTTACAGAGAGGTAAACAGCTAGCCTGTTGCTCAGTGGTTGGTGTAGTTCATAAGTGTTTCTCGTTTTTTTATATAGATTAGACCGTTGATTTTTCTGTTTGGATTGTTTTACACTAGTCATTTTGGGGGCTTTTATAGCTTGCTGTTCGGTGTGAGCCAAGGCTCCGTGTTGAAGGCCGTACTTTGACTTATAAATATAATTGTTAACTTTTTACATCGGATGACCATGAGGGCATTCCGGTGTATTGTTGCCATAGACATTTCTACTCACGTGACTTTCGTTTTTGACTGATAACCGAACGCAAAATAACATTCCTTATCGCTTGTTATATATCAATTTTATCAATAAATATTCATGAAAATAATTTTTAAGAACATAAATAATTGATATAAAAATGTTTTGTCGTGAGAAATATATAAATATATGTCAATAACAAATCAAGGATACCGAAAATTTGAGTTATCGCATGCGGAAGAATATCCCAAGAACGTTTTTGCGGGAAAATATGAATGCCTACTCAAATCCAATCTATTAGAAAAATCGAATTATTATAGAAGAGTGTCCACCAATAATGGCATGCACTTGCACTGCACTATTATTAGAATAGTAGAATAGAATGATATACAAATGGATAAAAATTATATATACATGTAACTGTTATATACAAATAGTGTATATAATATATAACAACAAACCAGAGTATACTGATTTGTATCACTACAATATAATAGTTATTACGGTGAGGTTGAATTCCCTGTCATTTATTCATCATCCACGCACAACTTGTCTCTGAAAAAAATATATCTATGAACCTTAACCTCACTTTCAGGTATAGAGATGTGATTTTTTTTTCTGAGACAAGTGTTTGTGACCATCCACAAATACTTGCGGTCATCCGATGTTCAGTACATCAGTACTTTGATTATACATTGTGACTTGTATGGAGAGTTGTCTCATTGGCACTCATACCACATCTTCTTATTTATAGCTAGTGTGATGAATATTGTTTTAATACAATTACCTTGATCGTATTTAAATAAGAATCCTTTTAACAAAGTCCAAAATAAAGGTATCAGATAGTGTCACACGTTATTATTCACATACGATTCTACTTTCACTTTTGGTTTATTTATAATTGTCAAGGTAAACTATGTTTTCGGGAACAGTGCTGGGTTCGGAATTGATCTATATCCGGAATTGGGAAGGGCGGGTTAAACATGTTAAGACATAAATGTCATAAATTGTGGTTCATAACAATACAGGAACACTACAATTGAGAATTGAAACGGGGAATGTGTCAAAGAGACAACAACCTGACCAAAGAGCAGAAAACAGCCCAAGGCCACCAATGGGTTTTCAACACAGCGAGAAAATCCCCCAACCGGAGGAGGGCTTCAGCCTGCTGGCCCCTTAACAATAATGTGTACTTGTTCAGCGAAATTGGACGTCACACTAAACTCCGAAACATATAAATGAACCAAACTTTGAAATGTATACAAGACGAACAAAGGCCAGAGGTTCCTGACATGGAAAAGGCGGCAAAAGTGCGGCGGATTGAACATGTTTTGTGAAATATGTTATTAAAGGAGGGCAAGTGGTGACCCTATCAATACCTACAACCTGTCGATAAACATTTTTACCGAAACGTACATAGATGTTGTCATGAAGAAAATATAAAGCTTTAATCATCTCATCACAGTTCCAGTAAGTATATATCTAGCATATTTCCCTTTTACCTTACAGAAGAAGGCTTTAAATGAGTTACAGCAAAAATAAATCTGCAATCATATTTTTGAAAGGACCATTTAATTAAATAACAGAACTTCTGTTTGAAAAAATTGTGTAGTGTACAGAGTCAAAAAATCATAAATGTCAACTGAATTGAACGGACCATCAAAAGCACGTAATTTATCCAAAACATCCAAAGATTTTTTGACACTCCAAAAATGTCAACAATATTTATATATTTTTTTAAATGGGAATCACGTGACTTTCTGTAAGATATCTCCCGTCTACGCTATTTTTTTTTAGGATGAAAGAGCATCTTTAAGGCCCGGTTTAACCTCTCGGTCTTGAACGATGTTGAGATACCTTGCATTTAATTGGTCATAGAGATCATATCTAAACTTCGATGTTTCTGTCTCGTGTTGAAGGAGCATTATTTTCTATACTGACGTCTGGTGTAACTTGCGTATCATTAACTGAAATTAAACTCCCACTGTTTTTTTTTTTATATGCGTATAAGAAATTATAGGTGGCGCTAAGTTATCAAAATATGGAGGTATAAAGTTTTGAACGGTACAGTCAGGATTCTACTTTGTCAAAATTATCTCCCCATTACGCCAGTTCATTTTTACAATCGTAAAAATGGAAGCCATTGTAGGGATGACGCGCTGCCAATTTAGCTCTTAGTGAAAACCGATAAATTTATCCACGTAGCAACATTACGACCCTTATATGCCAGTTGTATTTTAAAAGACAAATGTATCTACTAGCTAATGAGCATCAGTTAATGTACTTGTCTACATTCAGTCAACTTAAAACTATTGTCTGATCGGTTGTTAGGTGGAATTTTCGAAAATTTGACATTTAAAAAAATTCTAATTCAATATTTCGTGGAAGGGCAGACTAAAAAATGTCAGTGGTTGAAGACTATAAACCCTAGATATCACACACAAAAAATTAAGTTTTATCAAAGATATGCATTTTAAAGATCCAACTTAAAAGTCTGTCGTCAAGTATTTTTAGTAAAAATTTGCTATTCGAACACACCTATTCTGTTTCTGTGATTCATTAGAAAGGTATTTCACTTGACCCATATATTTCATTTTTTTAGTACTGTGAATTTTCGATGTTATAGAGTCAACCTGTAGCCTTGATATATAAAAAGATAGAATCTGAAGCGAGATGATGTATTAAATACTTTTGCTTTTTACGTTTTCAAGACAAAAAATTCAACTCAAACACGCCTTAACATAAAAAGGTGCACTTGATTTTCTCTTTTCGATGCAATTGTTACCCATTTTTTGGAATTATTTCTTGAGTCACATAATGGAGGCAGAAACGAAAATTAAGGAACAAATAGATTGATATGTTCTCCGTCCGTGTTATGTTGTTTTTTTAAATCGGAGGTTAGATCCAACTGAATAGACACCATGTCGTGGACTTGATATCTAATTGTTCTTCTTAATTATGTAATAGATAAATTGAAAACTTATACAGATGGTGTTTTTATGATAAAATACCTCGTAATTTAGCGTAAAAACTGTCATTTTATTTGTTTCTATTAACTTTTAAAATTTTTGTTACTATAGTAAACATTACAGTAAGCATTTATCGACTTCTCTAACAAAGAGCTTCGATTCTTTTGTTCTATTTCAACTGGGTTTCCGCCTGGGTAGAGTCATTAAAAATACTAGATAAATTAATAAAATCAGTACCTCTATAATTCTGTTTTTGGAAAATAACTTTTATCATCTTCAGGTTTTTCAATTCGAACGAACAGTCTATGGTGACAAAAAGCTGTAATAATCCGTGTACACTCATATTTTTGACTAGAAAACGATATTGTATCACTCGGTGGCCAAGTAGTCTAAGTAGTCGATCTATTGTATTACTAGACTGTCAAAACTGAGGTTATGATTTTCAATCCCGCACCAATCTTAATTGAACAGGAATGTCAATATTCCTACCGAAGGTCAGTGGTTCTCTTCGGGCACTCCGGCTTTCTCCACCAATAAAAACTGACCGCCACGAAATAGCGCAATACGGTACTGAAAGTGGCGTTAAACAGCAATCAATCAATCAATCAATCGTTGATTGCGGTTAAAGTGATTGCCATGAGACCTATGACTACATTGTCTTTTATCAACAATAGTCATCATATAAATAGATGACGTTTTAGATATGTTCCCTTGGCCCATGATATTGTCATTTATAGCTCGGAGATACGCTGTCTGACAGTTCGCAAATTTTACAGAAATTTTCAAATTGTTTAAGTGATTGTCTTGGTTGTTTCTGGATGGTTTGAAGTGGTTGGAATTTCATGTGTTGATGTTTTTCTAAATATTGGTAAATTGAAATTTTAAATTTCTTATGACTACGGAAGCGATATAGATGTTTTTGAGTTCGTTTGAAAAATTCACGTCCAGTTTGCCCTACATATAGAATACTACATTTCGGTTCTGTTCATGTTACAAGATTGATGAGGCTTTGGGTTTTTCATGTAATGTCATATGAAAATGAGAGAGAAAAGGTTCTTCCGTTCACTAATGACCGAACAGTATCATCTGAGATAATCTGGAACAGGTTTGTCATTTTCTGGCATTGCACTGGAATATTTGTGGATATCCACGTGCGTTTTTGTTGAATAACCTAGCAGCAGAGGCATTGCTTACTTGAGCACAATTGTGAAAAGTGCTGAATTTTGAAGGTGGGTTTCGATTAGCAGCATTTGTTTTGATTGTTCTAAAAAGAATACAGACATCTGCAAACAAGCAGGTTTTGGATGTTCCTGTCGCAATAATATCGTTTTATGAAATTTTGTAATGCATCTAGAACTGAACATTGAGTCACGCTTTATCCACAGGTATTTGACTAGATCCCACCAAGAACAACCTGTTGCTTTCTATTATTTAGGGACGGTGACAGCTATTTACAGGCATTTCCCCTTATTTCATAATCATCCGATCTGTCATTCTAATACACATCACAAACGTGTTCTCGCACAGAATAATATATGATTAAAATATTCCAACCGAACTTAAAACACATATGATTACGATCCCCTTTACAGTTTTATGTCTATATATATATTCGAGAATAATAAATAAATAAATATAAAATGTAACTCCTTCCGCTCAAGAAAACTTCATTTTGAGTGTAACTCTTTTTTCATCACTTGGTGTCCGTGACGTCAAAGATTAAAATATGCCAAACGAACTTTTTTAAACACATATAGTTACGATCCCAATTACAGTTTTGTTTCTATATATATATATATATATTGGAGACTAATAAATGAATAATTTAACTCCTTCCACTCAATAAAATTCATTTTGAGCTCAACTCTTTTCTCGCCACTTGGTGTCCGTCTTCTACCGTCGTCGTCGTCCGTTAACTTTTACAAAAATCATCTCCTGTGAAACTACTGCTCTAAATCTAATCTAATTTAGCAACAGCCATCATTGCAGTATCTAGTTTTGTCTATTATCTTAAAAACTGCTATAAATAGAGAAAATCTAAGAGACAGAAATGTTTAGAACGTTGGAGATATATCTACTGTCCATTTACATCAAACTGTCAGACAACTTCTATAGGAGTTATTGCCTTTAAATGACAAACTAGATCAGCAAGACATGATCAACACATAAGTCAACATGGCTGAAATCTTTAGTCGACTCCTTATTGGAGTGTCCTTATTGGAGTGATTGCCCATTAAAGACGATTTTTAACATTTTTTTACGTTTTTGACATATATCGTGAAAACTATAAAGATTAGTGGTCAGCATGACGGGATCTACAAATAAGTCAAATTTTACTGAAATCGTTAGTTGACTGTTTAACCCTGTTTGTGTATTGGACAAAAACTAAAGAAGATAAAGAAGATCAGCAAAAAAAGAGATTTTTGTCATGAACTATATTCTAGTCTACAAAATTATAGTGTCAATTGCATAAACCTAGTTGAGCGAAAAAGTCTCCTCGAGCCTCCTTATTTGAAATTTGATTGTAATACAGATATGAATGTTTGAACATTTGACATTTTCGAAGTCATAAACGATTTCAGAAACCAAAACTATTTTGATTTAAAAAAAAATGGAAGATCGTTGAAGTAGCCCGAATATATATATATACAGCCGCATTCTACCGAAAGAACAGCTGTTTATTGGTTACTTCGGTGTTGTACGATTTTTGTATGTTTACATACACGTGTCCATTTTCACCATTTGTTTAAATATTTACATTGTAGCAATAGTATTAAAAATGTTTAACGACTATCTATGTATTTTCTAGGTTCCATTCCACTAAAGCATAGTTGACTTTAGATGCCGAGCAATTAGCTCTCAACGGATAAGAATTATATTATTTTATACTTACATTCGTAGTTCATAAACTGCATGATTAAATAAAAATATTTCGTTTTGATTTTGATAACTATATATTTAGATTTAATATTCACATTTTCCCTCTTTTTTATTACATATTATTCATTATACAAGCATGTGCAAAATATGTTCACTATAATGATTTCAACCGGGACCTTACCAAATATATAATGAAATATTCTACTAAGTATGAAAATAAGGAGATGTGTAGCGATTGCCAATGAGACACCAATGTTCAAATGAAGTGGATGTAAGCAATTATAGGCAACCGTACGGCCTCAACAATTAGAATAAACTGCTTCGCTGAGCGCAGCTGGATACGCCCGCAGAGGTCCAACCCTGAACAGTTGGGGCAAAAATGGACACAATATTCAAGCTTGATACAGGTCTGAATTTGGATTGTAATTAAATATTTGACATATTATAGGTTTCTGAATAAATGTAGTCAAAGAACTTGAAATTGGTTATATGAATTGAATTTATATTCAATTAAAGATTTCTTGCTGTTGTGCAAATACACTGTGCTGTTGCGCACTACTTAGTAAATCTGTTGTCAGACTATAAACAAATAAAGTTCAATTTCTTCTCAATGTCATATTTGAAATTTATGAAAATCAATAGGGAGATTACATCAATAGCTATAAATAATTCACCAAAGTTTCATGAGAACTGCTAAAAGCATTTTTGAGTTATTGTCCAAAAACTGGAAAATCCCCCTTTTTTAATGAATAAAACCCCATAACTCAGAAATGTAAAATCTAAAATTTATAAAATTCTAAATGGAACTTACATCAACAGATATAAACAATTCACCAAGGTTTCATGAGAACTGCTGAAAGCATGTTTTAGTTATTGTCCGAAAACTGGAAAATCCCCCTTTTTTATGAATAAAAAACCTGTAACTCGGAAACGTAAAATCTAAAATTTATAAAAATCCAAAAGGGAGCTCATGTCAATAGATATAAACAATTCATCAAAATTTCTTGCAAGTTGGTGAAAGCATTATTGAGTTATTGTCGAAAAACTGGAAAATCCCCCCTTTTTAGCTCACCGGGGCCTTCGGGCCCCATGTGAGCTTATGCCATCACTTGGCGTCCGTCGTCTGTCGTCGTCTGTCGTCTGTCGTCGTCTGTCGTCGTAAATTATTTCAAAAATCTTCTCCTCTGAAACTACTGGGCCAAATACCTTCAAAATTTAACTAAATGTTCCTTAGGGTATCTAGTTTATGAATTATATCCGAAGTTTTGATCCATCGACAAACATGGCCGCCATGGCTAAAAATAGAACATAGGGGTCAAATGCAGTTTTTGGCTTAAATCTCAAAAACTAAAGCTTTTAGAGCAAATCTGACTAGGTTATAATTGTTTAATTGGTCAAGATCTATCAGCTCTGAAATTTTCAGACGAATCGAGCAACCCATTGTTGGGATGCTGCCGCCTAATTGGTAGTTTTAACAAAATTTTGCAGTTTTTTGTTATTATTTTGAATATTATTATAGATGTATATAAACTGTAAGCAGCAATAATGTTCAGCAAAGTAAGATCTACAAAAAAGTTTATATGACCATAATTGTCAATTGACCCCTTAAGGAGTTATTGCCCTTTAAAGACAATTTTACACAATTTGTTCATCAAGTTTGCTAACATTTAAAAATCTTCTCCTCTGAAACTACTGGGCTAATTACATTCAAACTTTAACTAAATGTTCCTTAGGGTATCTTGTTTATAAATTGTATCCGAAGTTTGTATCCATCGACAAACATGGCCGCCATGGCTAAAAATAGAACATAAGGGTCAAATGCAGCTTTTGGCTTATATCTCAAAAACTAAATCTTTTAGAGCAAATGTGACAATGGGTAAAATTGTTTAATTGGTCAAGATCTATCGGCCCTGAAATTATCAGACGAATCGAACAACCCATTGTTGGGTTGCTGCCACCGAGTTGGTAGTCTTAACAAAATTTTGCAGTTTTTTGTTATTATTTTGAAAATTATTATAGATGTATATAAACTGTAAGCAGCAATAATGTTTAGCAAAGTAAGATCTACAAAAAAGTTAATATGACCAAAATTGTCAATTGACCCCTTAAGGAGTTATTGCCCTTTAAAGACAATTTAACACAATTTGTTCATCAAGTTTTCTAACATTTAAAAATCTTCTCCTCTGAAATACAGGTGAGCGATTCAGGCTCTTGAGAGCCTCTTGTTTAATGAATAAAACCCAAAAGCTCGGAAACGGTAAATCTGAAATTTATAAAAAACGAAAGGGAGCTCACGTCAATAGATATAAACTTTTCACCAAAGTTTCATGCATATTGGTTAAAGCTTTTTTGAGTTAATGTCCGACATGTTGACGAACGGACGGACAGACGGACGGACAGACGGTCAACGGTATACCATAATACGTCCCGTAAACGGGCGTATAAAAACCCATACCATATAGTCGGCTATAAAAGCCCCCGACATGAAAAATATGAAACAATTCAATTTAGAAAACTAACGGCAAAATATGTAATTTAAAATTTATGTATTAAACCATTAATTTGACTAGTCATGTTACAAAATAAAATGTGAAAAGTGACTAAACTATTGGGCATCATCTAAACTATTGGGCATCATCATTTTTAAACTTAATTTCAACACACGTATCTCCAACATCTGCACACAAAAGCTCACTGTTTTTAAATACTTGGCAAACACTCAAATAAACTGGGAAATTTAATAGTATGCAAATCTATCATTTTGTCGAAGTTTTTGTTCCTTATTCTTGCACTTCTGCAGCTAGGTAAATACTATTAAAATTGACAAAGTACAAGAAAAGAAAGATCACCCCGTCTCATTTACCGGAATTATATGTACTAAAGCACATATGATGATTTACTATCCATCTCTTGAAGTTAGACACTTTAGAACTATTGCAATAGAGGTATTTAAAACAGTAAATAAGTAAAATCCAATATTCCTACACAATTTAATAAACATTAAAAAAATATATGTATTCTTTCGGACATCAAAATCTAGCTGAAATGCCTACAGTTAGAACTACAAGGTATGGATTGAAATCCTTCAGATCATTTCTGCATCCAAACTATTGAATAAATTGCCAAACCATCAGTATAAAATTTAAACATCTTTCACTTAATTTAAAAGTCTAATAAACTCATGGAATGGCAACCCAAGCCATTGTAATATGCTTAATTGTGATTTTTATGTTATGTACTGCTTTGAAGCATATATATATATATAGTAGTGCTGCTTATTATATTCGGCCACTCTTATTAATGCTTACTTTGCTTTCAGTGTTTTTATGAATTGAATTTGGTTTAGTGTTTTATGTTGATGATTGAATAGTATTTTTTATGACTGCTTTAGCTTAGTTCTCATTCGTACATGCATGCATATATAAAAAGTAATTACCGAACTCCGAGGAAAATTCAAAACGGAAAGTCCCTTATCAAATGGCAAAATCAAAAGCTCAAACACATCAAACGAATGGATAACAACTGTCATAATGTATATTATTGTGTTTAACTTATCATAGGTTAACTTAGTCATGCTAGTTTAGTCATGCTAGTTCAGCTTTGCCGTGTGCGTGATATATATAATATCCTTTAGCTTTAATATCATTATTTTATTTACATTGTGTATTACTTTTGTATATGTATGCATTTGTCGGTCATTAAAGCTTAAAAGATACGTGACATGCCGACTTGATTTGCATTGATTTACTTTGAATCATATGCAAGAACGTCGGGACTGCATGGGACTTATTTTATTTTAGGTATACCCATTTTATTTTACATTTTCAAAACTTCCGGTTATTCATACGGGATTCCCCAAAAAATGCGTTTTTCCTACTTATTATGGACCATGTTGATTTCCATGCGGTTCCTGAAGTTAAAGATAATGTAAGACTTAAGCCATATAAACTTTTGGTTCCAATTTGAGTGCAGACGAAACGGGTAAAGACGCACCTATTTAAGGTTCATCATAACAAATGGACAAAAAATGGCTGTATTTCCACCTCAAAAACTACTCTGAGTACAGACTTACCTGTCCAGTTAGAAAAGTTTTAATGCCTGGCATCCACTAGATATATAAAAGTTAAATGCATTTTGTGTTTCTGAAAGATAAAATCATTTTTGGATTTTGATGGCCATTTTTTTTCCTTTCTGCAGAAGGTGTAAAAATAAACGAAGTTGGGATAAAACTTTGAGATGCTCCCTCTCAGGTAACAACTTTATTGTATTGTATTGATTGTCCTTGATTGATATGGACAATAGATAGACAATAGGTATCTACACATCTATAGGTGAGTTAAAGGGTTTAACTGAGTGGACAGTATCAAAGCAATTCAGGTGTTTGTTTATTTTTACACCTTCTGCAGAAAAGAAAAAAAATGCCCATCAAAATCAAAAAGTGATTATATCTTTCTGAAACAAAAAATGCATTTAACTTTTATATATCTAGTGGATGCCAGGCCTTAGCACATTACAAACTGGACAGGTAAGTCTGTACACAGAGTAGTTTTTGAGGTGTAAATACAGCCATTTTTGTCCATTTGTTATGATGAACCTTAACTGGAAATGTGGACCTAGAGGCTAAATTAGCCTTATCACCAGTTGTTTATTTTTACTTCTAAATAATAATTTAGAGACGACTTCCACATTCGTGTATTTTTTACCATAGTCACTTGTTTCTATCAAAGGAAAGGTCGACTATCAATGTGTAATGAAGAGATGCGATCCTCAATTGGGGATTTGATGGTCGCAAATACAGTATTGGTGACGCATATTGGAGTCAGTAAAACAGATATATATGACCGTTAAATCCAAAATTAATGGCGGCAACTATTCATATACACATGTCACTATAATACATGATTTACTTACTTACAGTACTGTTATTCCTACATTGTATTCTCACGTATTACTCTTAAAATTTTCAAAAACAAACATTAAATGTTCCGTAAACGGCTCCGACCATTGAATTGATAACAGATGCCACTCGATAAAAATTGGCGCTACATGCTTAATTGCATTAGAATAAGTTATGCACAGTAAGAGTTAATTGTTCACTGGCATAACTCTTTCATAATATTGTGAAACTTCATGGATGGTACCAGCAGGATTCAAACCCTAAATCTCAGGATCTAAAGGCAGTGCTCTAACAGATTGAGCAAAAGACGATATCCTGAACTCAACCATTTAGACTATAGCTACCGAATGCAGTTATACAACAATAAACCTGTTTTTCAATTAAATTACTGAATTTATCTGTTATTGTGTACAGATGTGCTGACTTTTATATAAAATTTAATTACTTGACTTACTGAATTAAGGTTCTGTCAGGCTTTAAAACTTTGGCCTTTTTTTTATTTAGGGATCCCAACCCATTCATGCCATACAGAGCTATTCTAAAACACTATATCACAGTCAATAAATGTGATATTAACAAATCCCTCTCAAACTATATAAGTTAACCACACTTTTGGGAGATGGTTAGAAAATAGAACATCACCATACATGTATATACACTAAATTATATATATATATATATATATATATATATATATATATATATATACATGTATAAAATTGTCTTGTTGACATACCACAATGTTTTTTTTCAATTTTTTGCTTCAGGTTTTTGTAGAGACAACATTTGGTGCTAATAAACCTGTAACAACAGTTAAAGTTGTAGGTTTGTATTAATTACAATCATATTCTTATCAGAATCAACAATTGGATGAATAATCTGTTTAAAGGTAAATTTAATATGTACAAGATGTAATGTATATTTTACTAAATCTTAAATTTGCATGGGCAGGGTAGACAAACTGATATTTTTCTTCCTTAATTGTTGTAGGCATCAGGACTACATTTACAACATGTATATACAAACAATGTTACATTGTACTATTATGATCTATTGTGATGGCAACGATCAATCTCTTTTTAGAGCCAGGATCCAGAGAAGTACAGATACCATCCCAAGTAAACAGTTTAACTATTTCATCATTCAATTCATTAGAATTAAAGGTAATTAAGTTTGGTATATGTAGTTAAAGTGTAAAAAGTAAATTTGCTGGCTATCCGGCATTTACATTAAAGTGACTGAACAATTATCCATCATGAGAAAGAAATGCACAAGTCTTAACGACACTTATATTATGGACAACTTTCTTAGACAACTCAAAATGTGTTGCCATTCTAACAGACTGAAGTTAGCATTAATTCATCTTAACTATAATGTCACATTACAATATCAGAAATGATAATTTCAAAATATGCATAGATCATAATATCACAATGATGAAAGTTTCTGAACAAAGTAAATTACACACACTGTGCCAAAAGTTGCTTTCCACAGCAATTCTTTGTAAATCTCTGCATGCTTTCTAAAATTACAAAAATTAATTTTATATAAAAAAATACCAGACATCAGCAGACACTCATCTCACAAGAAAAACTTGTGTTGAGGGGATTGTTGGAAATGTTTCTAGGTAAAAGAAATAATTTATTAACAAACTTCATCATAAATATGATAAAATGCAAAATTTATAAAGGAAAGGGAAGTTTTGATAATACATTGTCTGCAGCTAGAGTGGCAATCTATAATCTGTTCACAAATCTGCCAAAAAATCCTCAATCTGAATTTTATATCTAGCTTTTATATCTATCGGAAAAAGGAAACACATACTGTCCTTTTGTAGACATATGTCAGCAATGCTTGTCCTACTTATATTATTACCCCAAACAACAAAGAAAGTGCAGAGTTTAACATGTTTTTGACCCTTCTGAATCTGTCAGTCAATCAATCTCTCTGGAAACTGCAAAATGCCCTGAATTTCAAAGTTTTGGTTTTCGGTGTAAATATTTTGATTTATGATATTTTGAGTTATTTCCCTTTAACTGTTTCTGTTTCAGAATTATTTGTATCTTCCTTGAAATGTATGTTAGGTCAGGTTTTAGCTTTGATTCAACTGTCCATGATGTAAGTCTTATCTAGAATGGCATAGTTTGTCAGAACAATCTTTGTACAATAATTTATATACTGTCAACGGGAGTTATCAGGTTAGGGTTTGTCAGAACAATCTTTGTACAATAATTTATATACTGTCAACGGTAGTTATCAGGTTAGGGTTTGTCAGAACAATCTTTGTACAATAATTTATATACTGTCAACGGGAGTTATCAGGTTAGGGTTTGTCAGAACAATCTTTGTACAATAATTTATATACTGTCAACGGGAGTTATCAGGTTAGGGTTTGTCAGAACAATCTTTGTACAATAATTTATATACTGTCAACGGGAGTTATCAGGTTAGGGTTTGTCAGAACAATCTTTGTACAATAATTTATATACTGTCAACGGTAGTTATCAGGTTAGGGTTTCTTCATTATTTCACTTCTAATTTTGTAAATTTATCTTTCATCCAGCAACTTCACGCAAGTGTTACTTATCAGATCCAATGTTATATACCATGTTGATTTAAGTTTTCCTATTGATAAGATTTGAAGTAGCAGATTATGGTCATTTACACAATGTCTACTTTGATGCTAAGTAATAGTGCATCTCACACAAGTTTATGAATTAAAGTGAATTTTCTCATTATTCAGGCACCAAGTACATCTACTACTAGTTCCTTATCAGTACCAACTAACAGTGTATCTCACACATCACATACAAGGTCCTTATCAAATGATTCCGGTGAATTTACAGCTTGGAAATTCATGTCTGCCGAGGATAAAGAGGTATGTGCTACTGTAGATTCACTTATTTTTGTGGGTACCAATTTTTCTTGGATTGAGGAAAAATTATTTTTTCATGGATACTTGATTTTGTGATTTTGCTAAAATCAGAATTCAAGCCTATTGAAAATTTGTACTTTGTTACTTTGTTGAACCTTTGACCACAACTTCCAGGAGAATTGGTACTTTGTTGAACCTTTGACCACAACTTCCAGGAGAATTGGTACTGTGTTGAACCTTTGACCACAACTTCCAGGAGAATTGGTACTGTGTTGAACCTTTGACCACAACTTCCAGGAGAATTGGTACTGTGTTGAACCTTTGACCACAACTTCCAGGAGAATTGGTACTGTGTTGAACCTTTGACCACAACTTCCAGGAGAATTGGTACTGTGTTGAACCTTTGACCACAACTTCCAGGAGAATTGGTACTGTGTTGAACCTTTGACCACAACTTCCAGGAGAATTGGTACTTTGTTGAACCTTTGACCTTCCAGGAGAATTGGTACCCCACAAATATTTATGATACGACAGTATACAGAATATATTAAAATAATAATCTCTAAACCTAAACAACAAGTGTGTTTATCAAAAACAACCATTCAAAAAATTGAGATACAAATATAATATTGAATTTAATTTGATTGACATTTATAAGCGTCTTATGAACATAAAAAGGGAGTGTCTAAAACAGATGCTAAGTACTTCTGAACTGATCTAGTGTATTAAGATGTCTAAACAAAAGTACTCATTATCAAAAAAATCCAAAACCTAATGCTAAGGGGGATGAGCTGATAAATTCTCAAAGTACCAAAAGTAAAGCCAACCCAGAGAAATGTCTTGTATCAGTTCATTAAAGTGGTTTTTTTATCGATCACAAGCTGAGATTTCACAATACATGTAACAGTAAAATGATAAACAATAGATGAGTATATGTGTACTACACTGTTACATTATTTATTTCATCTTTTTTTTATTTTAGGATATCTGTGTTTTTGTTGATGAACCTAACAAGAAGTTATTTTGTAAACTATGTAATCAAGTATTCAGAGATCCAGTGATAGTATCATGTGGGGTATGTATATCAGGTCATGTGATCAAGTATTCAGAGATCCAGTGATAGTATCATGTGGGGTATGTATATCATGTAATCGGGTATTCCAAGGTCTGGTGATTTTATGATAAAGTGAAAGTATAAGGTCATGGGATCAAGTTATCTTTTAATACTGTCTTGAAAGGTAATGTCACAGTACCCAAATGTGCCTATGTTGCCAAAAATTGACAGAATTCATATAAGTTTTCTTAGTGACCAAACTATTTGTATTTTCATCATTTGTCATTATGCACATCTTACAACATAGCTAAAAGATCACAATACAGTCGCATTATACATGTTATATATCAACAGATGAAAAAAATAAAACTTGTGGAAACACAACATGAGATGTCCAATAAATGCTGACTTTAAGAAATTACTGATATGTTAAAGGCATTATTTTGTTGCAAAATGCATAGTACAATAAAAAAATGTCATAGGGATCCCATTTGTTACAAAAAGCCAAAAATGTCAAGTTGTTCCAAAGGTATCCATTTCTTAAATAATGCATAATAAGCAAGGACTTATGTCAAATTGGTCACAAAATATGGAGTGAAAAACACAAAACATCATTTATTTGATATTTATTGATGTGTAGTTAAGCATGTGTGCAATTTAGATACTTCTCATAACAAAATCTTGGATCATTGAGAATTGATAACACCAGGATAAAACTTTATTGCAGCATACTTACTGCAGACAGTGTGTGGCATCACATTAGTAAAACACATATTTATTTCAGCATACTTACTGCAGACAGTGTGTGGCATCACATTAATAGAAAATTCATTTATTTCAGCATACCTACTGCAGACAGTGTGTGGCATCACCTTAAATGAAAATTCATTTATTTCAGCATACCTACTGCAGACAGTGTGTGGCATCACATTAATAGAACATATATTTATTTCAGCATACCTACTGCAGACAGTGTGTGGCATCAAATTAATAGAACATATATTTATTTCAGCATACTTACTGCAGACAGTGTGTGGCATCAAATTAATAGAACATATATTTATTTCAGCATACTTACTGCAGACAGTGTGTGGCATCACATTAATAGAACATGTATTTATTTCAGCATACTTACTGCAGACAGTGTGTGGCATCCAATAAATAGAACACATATTTATTTCAGCATACTTACTGCAGACAGTGTGTGGCATCACATTAATAGAACATATATTTATTTCAGCATACTTACTGCAGACAGTGTGTGTCATCACATTAATAAAACCTATATTTATTTCAGCATACTTACTACAGACAGTGTATGGCATCACATTAATAAAACACATATTTATTTCAGCATACTTACTGCAGACAGTGTGCGGCATCACATTATTAGAACATATATTTATTTCAGCATACTTACTGCAGACAGTGTGTGGCATCTAATAAATAGAACATATATGTATTTCGGCATACTTACTGCAGACAGTGTGTGGCATCACATTAATAGAACATATATTTATTTCAGCATACTTACTGCAGACAGTGTGTGGCATCCAATAAATAGAACATATATTTATTTCAGCATACTTACTGCAGACAGTGTGTGGCATCACATTAATAGAACATATATTTATTTCAGCATACATACTGCAGACAGTGTGTGGCATCACATTAATAGAACATATATTTATTTCAGCATACTTACTGCAGACAGTGTGTGGCATCACATTAATAGAACATATATTTATTTCAGCATACTTACTGCAGACAGTGTGTGGCATCCAATAAATAGAACATATATTTATTTCAGCATACTTACTGCAGACAGTGTGTGGCATCATATTAATAGAACATATATTTATATCAGCATACTTACTGCAGGCAGTGTGTGGCATCACATTGATAGAACCTATATTTATTTCAGCATACTTACTGTAAAGAGTGTGTGGCATCACATTAAATAGAACATATATTTATTTCAGCATACTTACTGCAGACAGTGTATGGCATCACATTAATAGAACATATATTTATTTCAGCATACTTACTGCAGACAGTGTGTGGCATCCAATAAATAGAACATATATTTATTTCAGCATACTTACTGCAGACAGTGTGTGGCATCAAATTAATAGAACATATATTTATTTCAGCATACTTACTGCAGAGAGTGTGTGGCATCAAATTAATAGAACATATATTTATTTCAGCATACTTACTGCAGACAGTGTGTGGCATCACATTAATAAAACCTATATTTATTTCAGCATACTTACTGCAGACAGTGTGTGGCATCACATTATTAAAACACATATTTGTTTCAGCATACCTACTGCAGACAGTATGTGGCATCACATTAATAAAACCTATATTTATTTCAGCATACTTACTGCAGGCAGTGTGTGGCATCACATGAGGATGGTAAGTTTTTCTGAAGAGAATTAGTTATTGATAAAAGCAGATTTGGGGGAAAAGGTCAATGAAACATCAACCAAACAGCTTCTGTAAACTAAGAAATTGAAATCTATAGGTCATCTATGGTCCATATTAGTGTAATCTAATGTTTTGACAGGTTGATGACATTCTTCTGCATATGCAATACCCTCAGAATGATAATTTTAAATTGTGTTTATTTCTTTAAAGGTTAAGTTCTAATATCTTGCCACAATTTTAAAATCCTGACCAACAGTAACTTAGGGAATAACATTGTATGATGTACAGAATACATGCATGAAGTTTTGGGATGTATAAATTTTGTGTTCTAGAACGTTTTAAAATATAATTCTTAAGATTTGCAACTATAAAAAAGAAGTCATTAATCCTGAAATGAGATGAAATAATAAATATGAAATATGCTATTTACCCAATTACAAAAAAAACCTAGAATTACATTGAATGAATTGTCTTTGTTTACAGGTGTTTGTCCTGTGGACAACTCTAATATGCAGGTAGTTGTGGCCAACATAGCAGTATCAGAACAGATTGGTGAGATGTTTATTCACTGTAAATATGGCTGCCAACTAGCAGACGACGGACAATCTTATGTTGTTGATTCGGCTACCTGTCCTGTTACGCTCAAAATTAGCCATAGAAAGTAGGTCAAATTAAATATTTTCCTGGAAATATCAATCAATAAATCAATCAAAATTGAAGTTTTTGGGTAATTGTTTTTTGTCTAATGATTTGTCACTATTTGAATCCTTGATTATATCATTGTACAAACAACAAAACAAAATACATATTTGGTTTAAGATTTAAATTATAATTCACCTCAATTCACAAGATCCCATAGAAAATTCTGAAAACTCAGTCCCTATATCAATTATAATTGTATTACTTGTATGTTCCAATGTTTATTTCAGAGAACATGAAGACATGTGTGATTTCATGAAAGTAAAATGTCCTAATGGTGCTGGTTGTGCCCCTGTTTTAAGGAAGGTAAGATAATGTGTGTGATTTTATGAAAGTAAACAGTCCAAAAGACTAGGTCGCCACAACCCCAAGACCATTTAATGGAAAAGTTACTTACACTATAGTGTATTCAGTGTAAATACACATGGTGCATCCTCTTTGATAATAAGATACACAGTTGGGAACACTTTTTATACGACCGCAAAAAAATTTTTGTGGTCGTATATTGGTATGACGTTGGCGGCGTCGTCGTCGTCCGGCGTCTTCCGAAGACACACTGGTTTTCGCACTCTAACTTTAGTTTAAGTGAATGGATCTCTATGAAATTTTACCACAAGGTTCAATACCACAAAAGGAAGGTTGGGATTGATTTTGGGGGTTATGGTACCAACAGTAAAGGAATTAGGGGCCAAAAGGGGGCCAAAAATAAGCATTTTTGTAACTTCCAGACATAACTTGTGTGTTAGTGTATGGATCTCTCTGACATTGTACCACAAGGTTCCATATCACAAAAGGAATGCTGGGATTGATTTTGGGGGTAATCGCCTCAAAATTTTAGGAATTAGGCACCAAAAAAGGGGCAAAAAACAAGCATTTTTCTAGTTTCATGACAATAACTTGTGTGTAAGTGTATGGATCTTTCAGAAATTGTACTACAAGGTTCCATATCACAAAGGGAAAGCTGGAATTGAGTTTGGGGTAATTGCAGAAACGTTTAGGAATTGGTGGCCAAAAAGGGGCCAAAAATAAGCATTTTTCTAGTTTCCAGACAATAACTTGTGTTCAAGTGTATGGATCTCTCTGAAATTGTACTGGAAGGTACCATACCACAAAGGGAAGCTGGGGGTAATTGCCTCAATATTTTAGGAATTAGGGGCCAAAAAGGGGCAAAAAACAAGCATTTTTCTAGTTTCAGGACAATAACTTGTGTGTAAGTGTATGGATCTTTCTGAAATTGTACTACAAGGTTCCATATCACAAAGGGAAAGCTGGGTTTGAGTTTGGGGGTAATTGCCCTAAACGTTTAGGAATTTGGGGCCAAAAAGGGGCCAAAAAACACATTTTTCTAGTTTCCAGACAATAACTTGTTTTCAAGTGTATGGATCTCTCTGAAATTGTACTGGAAGGTACCATACCACAAAGGGAAGCTGGGGGTAATTGCCTCAATAGTTTAGGAATTAGGGGCAAAAAAGGGGCAAAAAACAAGCATTTTTCTAGTTTCAGGACAATAACTTGTGTGTAAGTGTATGGATCTTTCTGAAATTGTACTGCAAGGTTCCATATCACAAAGGGAAAGCTGGGTTTGAGTTTGGGGGTAATTGCCCTAAACTTTAGGAATTTGGGGCCAAAAAGGGGCCAAAAAACACATTTTTCTAGTTTCCAGACAATAACTTGTGTTCAAGTGTATGGATCTCTCTGAAATTGAACTGCAAGGTACCATACCACAAAGGGAAGGCTGGGATTGAGTTTGGGTGTGATGAATCATAAGGGGATTCAAAAAATTTGGGGGGAGGTTTTTTTTTTTTTTTTTCCTTTTTTTTCTTTTTTTCCTATTTTTCTTTTTAAATTTTCCATTTTAAGTTGGTTATTTCTGATTTATATTTAAAAGCAAATAATAATGATATGGTAGGAGATACACACCAAACAGGATGTGTAAATTATTATATAATAAGTATTGTGCAATAGCAAGAAATTTTCAATTGCACAGTATTGCACAATAGCAAGAAATCTTCAATTGCACAGTATTGTGCAATAGCAAGAAATCTTCAATTGCACAGTATTGCGCAATAGCAAGAAATATCCAATAGCACAATATTGCGCAATAGCAAGAAATTGTCAATTGTACAGTATTGCGCAATAGCAAGAAATATTTAATTGCACAGTATTGTGCAAATGAAGATACTTTGTATAAATTGCTTATTTCTTGACCAATTTCAATGGGGTTTTATTCTTGAATTCTTGGGGTTCTTTAATATGCTGAATCTAACCGTGTATTTAGTTTTTGGATTTTGGGCCAAGTTTTTAAATTGGTCCACATTGAGGTCCAAAGGGTCCAAAATTAAACTTTGTTTGATTTCATCAAAAATTGAATTATTGGGGTTCTTTGATTTGCCGAATCTAACCGTGTATTTAGATTCTTAATTTTAGGTTCCGTTTTCAAATTGGTCTACATTAAGGTCCAAAGGGTCCAAAATTAAACTTAGTTTGATTTTAACAAAAATTGAATTCTTAGGGTTCTTTGATATGCTGAATCTAAACATGTATTTAGATTTTTGATTATGGGCCCAGTTTTCAAGTTGGTCCAAATCGGGGCCCAAAATTAAACTTTGTTTGATTTCAACAAAAATTGAATATATGGGGTTCTTTGATATGCTGAATCTAACCATGTATTTAGATTTTTGATTTTTGGGCCCCGTTATCAACTTTGTCCACATTGAGGTCGAAAGGGTCCAAAATTAAACTTTGTTTGATTTCATCAAAAATTGAATTCTTGGGGTTCTTTGATATGCTGAATCTAACCATGTATTTAGATTTTGGATATTGGACCATAATAGGTGAATGTCCAATTTAAAATTTTTAAGTTCTTAGACCACATTCAGTGTTTTTTTTTTTAAAATAGCTACAAAAGATTGTGTTCATTCTGAGAGAAGACTTTTTTCCTGAGGTCACAATGGCAAGATTTTAAAGAGGACTTGTCACGGAATAGAAGTTCCTTCATAATATAAGTTCCAAATGGAAACAATATTCTGGAATATTATTTCCACTGGAATAAATATTACAGTAAATGTTCCTAACGGAATAAATGGTATAGAATATTTGTTCCAACAGGAACAAATATTATGACATTGCTTATAACAAAGTTTCCAGTGGAACTTCTGTTAGGCGGAACATATATACATTGACAAACTGCCATATAATTTGACGTCATAATTGATCTGAATAAAGCGAAACCATATGCTTCTATTTTTGTGAAATGATAGTTGATTTTACAGCAAATCTAATTTATTTATAATTTTTGTTAATTATAGGATATAGAAGATCATCTAAGAAGTTGTAACAATGTTAGATGTCCTCATCATAAACACAGGTATACTTTTACATTATTTGGAGGACAACACAGTAAGGTCAAACACACATTTACAATTTTCACATATGGACCACTTGTCGTCATGTGTTGTCCAAGTTACATTTTGTGAATCCTGAACTGCTTGAACATGACGGACAGAATTCATTTAAACTGTCACTCATCCTTTTATAGGACGAAGTTGTGTACCAGCTATTTAAAATATTGATCTGAGTGAATATTGGATTTCCCATACCAAAAGTACAATTTGCCATTTCTGCAACACATGCCTTCATAGACTTGCAGTTAAAGTAAAAGAAGTTTTTACTATACAATAAGATTGTATTTAGACTAAATGGTAACCTAATAGTACTTTTTTGAGCTCACCTGGCCTAAAAGGCCAAGTGAGTTTTTCTCATCACTTGGCGTCCATCGTCGTCTGTTAACTGTTACAAAAATCTTCTCCACTGAAACTACTGAGCCAAATTTAACCAAACTTGGCCACAATCATCAATAAAGTTAACTAGTTTAAAAAATGTGTCTGATGACCCCACCTGCCAACCAAGATGGCTGACATGGCTAAAAATAGAACATAGTGGTAAAATGCAAGTTTTGCCTATTATTTTGAAAACCACTATAAATAGAGAAAATCTGACAGTGGCAAAAATGTTTAGAATGTTGAGCTCCACCTATTGTGCATTTACATCAAATCTGTCAGATGACTTCTTACAGGAGTTATTGCCCTTAAATGATGATTTTTACTATTTTTTTAAATTTTTGCCTATTATCTCGAAAATTATAATAGATAAAAGAAACTTTGAAAAGCAAAAATGATCAGCAAGACAAGTTCTACAAAAAAGTCAATATAGCTGAAATGGTTAGTCGACCCCTTATTAGAGTTATTGTCCTATCATGACGATTTTTACCAATTTTTGCATTTTTGCCTAATATTTTAAAAACTGTATTAGATAGATAGAAACTTTTTATAGCAAAAATGATCAGCAAGACAAGATCTACAATAAGTCAACATGACCGAAATTGTTAGTTGACTCTTCATTGAAGTTATTGCCCTTTAATGATGATTTTTCCCATTTTGCCTTATATCTTGAAAACTGTAATAGATAGATAGAAATTTTAAATAGCACAAATGATCAGCGAGACAAAATCCTCAAATAAGCCAAAATCTTCAGTCGACTCGTTATTGAAGTTATTGCCCTTTAATGAAAATTTTTAACATTTTTATGCATTTTTTGCCTATTATCTTGAAAACTATAATAGATGAATAGAAACTTAAAAAAGTAAAATTATCAGCAGGATAAGATCTACAAATATGTCAGCATGACTGAAATTGTCAGTTAACTCTTAATAGAGTTATTCCCCATCAATGATGATTTTTACTAAAAAGTGGCCATTATTGAAGATGCCGATAAGCGACACAGGCTCTTTAGAGCCTCTAGTTTAATATGTAAAATATCCAGTTTGTTTATCTTAAATAATTATTATACCCCCGCTTTAAAAAAAGTGAGGGTTTACTGTTTTACCTCTGTCTGTCCGTCTGTCCATCCATCCCATGAATATTTTTCGTCGCATCTTTCTCAGGAACTCCATTACAAGGATTTCTGAAATTTGGTTTCAGGGTTTAGGTTGCACTTTGTAAATACAGCTGTTTCTCAAACCACGCCTCTTTTGGGGAGATATTTAATATTCATAGGTATGTTAATTTGTTAACGTACTGGTTCCCATTGATGATCTCTGTGTTTCATCTCATAGAGACATCACTTGGGAATGTAACCAGTATAGATAAACATGGTAGCGGCTAAATTTTAATTCTTAGGAGGTCCAAAAATGGAGGTAAGGGTAGTATAGAATTTTAGTATAAGTTTAAACTCTTAGAAGTTCAGGGCATATAAATGTTGAAAATATGCCGCACAGCCCTATATTTTGACCTTTGAATAAAATAGTAGTGCATATAAACTTTCCGTTCTGGGATATTATTTTTCACGAAACTTCATAGTAAAAGTGTCACAGTTTTAGCCGCAAAGGGAGTTCCTATGGGAAATTGCATTGTCTGTATTTACAGAATTGCAACCTATATAGGGTTAAAAAATAGAACATACAGAATTTCACAAAATCTGGTTTATCTCAGAGATTTTAAAGAATTTAACTCAAATATGAAGTTTTATAAATATTTCATGAAGATTGAGAAAATCCTGGGCCTTAACTATGATGACTCAGCATAAATTCACAGTTTACAGTATGCATGGTTTACTTAAAGCCCTGAATTCAAAATAAATTCATAATATATGCCTATTTGTAATTTAAATTGTTTAGAAGTGCTTATATTTACTCTTCGCAGTAATTGCAACTCATTGATCCTTCCTAAATATTTCTGGTGGGGTGTTTTTGTCCTGTCGATAACCCAAAAGTAAGCCGTAACGCCTAAATGTGCTTTTTTGTGACTGCGGCATAAAAAAGTACAAGCTAGAATTACAAAAAGACCTCAGTAAAATTTACAATAGTGTGTTCTATCCTAAATATGTAGTAAATATTTCACATTGCTAGAAACAGGGAAAAAAATTAGGAAATGTGAGGCCCCAGGGGCAAAAAACAGAGGAAAATGCCTACCCCTGAGTCATAAAACAGATAATTTAACTTGTAAATGCTATGATTTTTTTATTTTAAAGGTCTTTTATAAAGTAAACAATAACTGTGCTAGGAAGTTATGCAAAAATCAGATGTAAGCAGTCATTTCAATCAAACTTTTAGTGAATTTATGCACCAGACTGATATCTTCATAAATACAACTTTTGCAAATATGCCTTTGTTTAAACACTTCTAGGACATATATTAACTAACTTATGTTAGATATATGGTTAGGGATGATACTGTTGTGACAAGAATTCTAAACTGACCATTTGAGGCAGAAATTGTGAACTTTCATTGACAAATAGGCATACAGTAAGATGTGGACTGGAGACACAGGCAGGATTGGATACTTTGTATAATCTTGAATGTTGGAATGCTTAACTACTAAACAAAACATTTATAGTATTCTAAAATGCTTTCAATTTGTTATCAGAATAGTTTCAAACAGGTTTTAGACAGTTCATGTCAGAAAACATGCACATAGGGTAAGCTGGCAATAATTAGAGTCTTGTTTTCAAAATCTTTAAAAAATTGGAACAGGGGTAGGGGTATAAAATGTACTGTAAAAGGAGACTTAGAGTATATGCAGTGATTTCTTTAAGGCTATAATTCTGATAAATAAGTATTGTTGTGAGAAAAAGTGTTTTTAGAGAGTTTTCTATTTGAATAAATGTTTGTATAGGTTGCACTTTGTAAATACAGCTGTTTCTCAAACCACGCCTCTTTTGGGGAGATATTTAATATTCATAGGTATGTTAATTTGTTAACGTACTGGTTCCCATTGATGATCTCTGTGTTTCATCTCATAGAGACATCACTTGGGAATGTAACCAGTATAGATAAACATGGTAGCGGCTAAATTTTAATTCTTAGGAGGTCCAAAAATGGAGGTAAGGGTAGTATAGAATTTTAGTATAAGTTTAAACTCTTAGAAGTTCAGGGCATATAAATGTTGAAAATATGCCGCACAGCCCTATATTTTGACCTTTGAATAAAATAGTAGTGCATATAAACTTTCCGTTCTGGGATATTATTTTTCACGAAACTTCATAGTAAAAGTGTCACAGTTTTAGCCGCAAAGGGAGTTCCTATGGGAAATTGCATTGTCTGTATTTACAGAATTGCAACCTTTATATGAGTCAGCTATATCGTGTGATGTGTTTTCAGATTCATCACTCAACAACTTCCTGTTTACCGAACACTTACATCATTTTACACATGAGTAGCCAAGTTGAAAATTTTCGTCACATTTTTCTCAGGAACTACATTACAAGGATTTCTGAAATTTGGTTTCAGGGTTTATATGAGTCAGCTATACCGTGTGATGCGTTTTCAGATTCATCACTAAACAAAATCCTGTTTACCGAAATATTTGGGCAGGGGTATCATCAGTGAGCAGTAGCTCGCAGTTTCACTTGTTCTTTTACCCTCATTAAATAGAACACAATCTAATTTTAGTACTAACTAATGTGATCTTTGTGTACCCAGATAAGTACATTTTTGGATTCCTGTAATTTATAATTATTAGAAATAACACTTAATCAGATTTCTTTTTAGACTGTGTTTTACTAGTGAGGGTCAAATAAAATTACACTAATATATATATTATATTGAAGAGTTATGGTCCCTTTTTTTGACAAGTTTATATAAACTTATTATAATTATAATAATGACTACTTATTCTGTTTTGTAGTTGTGAATTTGTTGGTACATCAGATGAGTTAGAAGACCATCTCAGATCATGTAAATTTGAAGGAATGAAAGAATTTCTTGTCAGAATGGATGAGAAAATGACAGACATGCAGTTTTCTCTCAACCAGAAAGATCAGGAAATACAGTTCTTACGATCAATGTTAGGCAAATTAGCTGAAAGGTTGGAGGCATTAGAAAAATCTTCTGATATGAAAATCGGTATGTTAAAAATACCAAATTCTTTTCATTTGTACTTCTATTACTGTGAAATATAACATACAAGATTTCAACAATCGCTTTGTTTGCCAGAGACCATTTTGATGTTTTAGGATATTTTATATGCCTACATGATCAATATTCATGAAACCAATCATTATATGTTTATTTTATACATCTTTATGTGAAAAAGTATTGGCTTGCATTTTGTCTTATCAGTATTTCAAATCATTAAATATTTGACCATTCGTAGCAAATCTAATAAAAGCTCATTTGCTTTATTATTGGATGCAAACAAATTTTTTACACAATGTTAGGTCCATAAATTTAAGATGAAGAAAGAAACTTTCCTTATTAGGTACGATGAATATTCAAACTATTGTCCTTTTATAGTTTGTGACCTTACTTGTAAAAATGTAACACTCAGAAACGTGTCCTTCCCCTCAAACGTGTCCGATTCCCCCAAACGTGTCCACACGACATCACTGAACTGCAAAACATGTCTAAATGTAAAAGGGCGCCAAAGCGTGTCATTTGTCTAAACGCCCAAACGTGTCTATTTTTAATGAACACCCAAACGTGTCCATAACAAGCTTATTTTTTTCTTTTACTGGAACTATCATTCGTGTCCATATTATAAATACGTAGGTTATTTGGTTATTGTTTTTTAGTTAACGTATACTCATTTTACTATTTCATTAAAAAATAGAAATAAATTACTTTAGGTCTTTTTTATACCGGCAGTATAACCTTGTTAAAAGCGAGGGCGTCTGTTCGTCTATGTTGGATGTAAATGTAAGCAGCCATGCTCAGTTAAATTGTAGATAATAAATCAGATACCTCGTGTAGGGAGAATGTCACGTTATCTGCGCATTAAAACCTTTGTAGCAATTCCCTTTCATGGTGCCATCAGTTGTATTTTGGAAGGCAACAGTTTTTTTTTAATTTTTATTTAAAACGGCCTCTATTACATAAAGGAGATTGCAGTAGTTTCTTACTGAAGTCATAAAAAAAATCCGTCTTCACTCGCTCTTATTTTTTTTTAGATTAAAATCCCGACTAGTGTTAATCTCGAATAACCGTCAAAATTTAGGCCCAATCCTAAATTCCCGGTATGATTATTGATACTAGTAATAGAACCTATGTACAGTATTTATTGTTAACATGATGTCGTTCAAATAATGCTTGAAATATTTGGCCCTGGACGTTATTTCTCTTGTTCGTGTGTCTTTAATGATGCTCGAAACCTAAAATTCATTAAAAAACCTGAAAACCAGTTTTTGATTTGAAGAGCTTTTAAAATATCAGAACTGTTGAAAAAAAGGAAGTCAATTCTGCTGAAAGCCCGCCGTTGGATTAATATAAAAGGCATCATCGGAGTTTATTAGTAACACATAATTTACATAGTAAACGATTAATTCAACTGCACCAGAATTATTTGTATGTGCGCTCTAAATGAGCATGAAATACTTGCAACTGGACAATAAGCAAATTCAGTCAAAAGTTAATTCATATGTTACATATTAAATTTGCAATTATGATAATCATTAACAACGGGCATTGAACAAACTAATGCTAATAAATTACTACCTCATCAACTGTTTCCCCCATCATAGAATTGCCGTAAACGTTATTGATTTTATTTAGGACATAATGTATTGGCGCTAAAAGACGTGAGACGTTCTGGCGTTTAACAGTGGACACATTTTGGCGAATAACAATTATTGGACATGTTTGGGGGTTTTGAAATCGGACACGTTTGGGCCATATTGAATATTACGGACACGTTTGGGGAGAATAGACACATTTGGGGGAATCGGACACGTTTGGGGAGATGGACACGTTTGGGAGTGTTACAAATATGAAGACAAGTTATGGTTTGTCCTTTTGAAAGCCAAGATACCATTCATTATATGTTAAAGGCTATAAAAATGATGTCCAATCATGCAATACTGCTGTATCAAGTATTTGTTTAACCACCATACCTCAATGGAAGACTAAAAAATGATTTGAAATTATGCATACCACTTTTCAAATGTTTCCGCCAGTAATTTTGAATGTTGATTGGACCATTAATGTATATGTAAAGTTATATACACTCAGATCTATCTTGATATTAGTGTCAAAATTTCTAACATCCCTCAGACTATGCGTTATAAACATAAAATTTCCAAAGTGTTCTTTTGACCTTCTGTTCAACCATTCTTACTATTTACCATTACTTACAGATTTACTGGAACATAATCAAAATAAAATAATGACAACTATCATGGATTGTCAGAGAGATTACGCTGTTATACATGTAAGTAAATTAGACTTCTATCAATTGTAAATCTATTGTTAAATTGTCTGATACATCAATTAGATAGTACGATGTATATTTCATTGTGCTGTTATCATAATTTTTAAAGCAATTGCTTTTATGCCATCGCGTATGGCCATCTTTGTGACGCAAATCAGAGACTCCGCCCAGATCAAGCCATAGTATTTTGTTAAACAGGCTCCTGGTCTGTCATTCTTAAACACCTATGTATGTTTTCTAATGCAATACATAGCTTGAAACTTTTGAAAAACGTTAGTGGATTTAAGAGGTTTCAGCATATGTTCTTGTAGATGCATTTTTGTATTTAGGGGGACAACCGTTTGACTATCAAAAAACATAGAAGTCTGAGTGAAAAAAAGTGCATTTTTATACCTGCGATTCCGCTCTCCTTTCGTACGATGTTTCAACAAAATATGGAATAATTTCAGTTGTTAATTTAGTATTGAAAATTTTACTGAATTATCTCTTATTAAATACGGTTTTATATGTTAAATTGGTGTTTCTCTAAGAAAGAGACCAGGTGCTCTTGTTCATTCATAAAATTATCATTCATTCATAAATTTATCGTAAAATCAAAATCACTACACAGGTTATACGTAGTGTCAAATGATTACCTGTAATCTAAAAATAGACAAACTTAACTGACCTATTTTGTTGATTTGTTTGCGCAAATAATTTAGCGGAACGAAACCCTTGTTAAAAACACATAACAATAAGTTCATTTTCCTTTTTTGTCATAACTCCGTAAGATTTAAGGATCACCTTACTAATGAAATGGACCCGTCAAAACGTGATAGATGCCAAGTCCAGATGAAAGAGATATTTACAATTTGGAATTTTCTAGTTTCATAGATTGAAAAAAAGTACGTCCTTTTGGATATCATAATCAAAACTGGGTATGCATGACAAATGATGAAACCATTATCCTCGTCTTTCCAGTTGAGGAGTCTACTACGTGTGTTGACACTCGACGGTCCACCGTGTTTGCAATTTTATTTCACATGTTTTCGAAATATTGATCATTTTTCGCAATGTTTCCTGAAAATTGATAAATATCAAAGCACCGAAGAGCTGTTTGTTCTTGTTCGTATAATGACGATTTAATGTCATGTTTGTCTGTGATGACCTCCCTTTTCGGGATTGCATGAGAATTATAGTTATCTCGTACCGCATGAGGATGACACATATCAACTGAGCAATAATGTTTTGGGACTTAGTTTTAAGAAATGAAGACAAAGTAACATTATGAAAATATTTCTAGTAAGCTGAAATATATATTTATTTTTTACATGTTTATGTCTTGTAAGATATTTTATTTCTTTCCCGTTTTTCAACATTTGCGTCTGGAAAGTTGAAATGTTTTAATTGAATGGTTAAATTTAAATTAATTATGATAATTGTTAAAATTAAATCAATAAAGGAAATTATTGCCCAGTTACAAACACTACCAGGGGATAATTTCTTTTTGAGTTATATGTTTCAGCACATGTAAATTTGACCCCAACTTTAGCCTGGTAAACGTGTTGTCTCCTTGTGAAATATAAAGCATATCAAAAGTGACTTTCTTCTAAAATCTTTTGTTGGTATAAAGCTAAAACCTTCTTACTTCTCACTAGACAACACTCCTGTCAGGTTTAATTCTTATATATATGTGGATGAAAAATAAAAGTCCCCAAAACATTAACATGGCAGCAATTGCTTTTACAGCCTTTAATGCTTTGATTCCTTTAAACTTCAAGATAAATTGTTCAGGGAACTAATTTTAGTACAAATTTGGTGTCTCTGTTTAAAATTCCAACAGAAGAAAGTATAAAGTAAGGAAACTAATATGATGAATGACTGAATTGATGTTTTGTTTATGTAATTGAATACACTATAGATAATGGATGAATGCAAAAATTAAATTTTCATTGTCTGAAATTAAGTTCCTTAATCTCAGCATTCTCTTTGATGATCAAAACATCCAGGACATCAATGTTACCATCATAATTACCATTTCTCAATAGTTCACACTGATGCAAATTTATTATTTCAGGATGATTTAGCACATCTCAATAGTATTGTAAATGGCCGTAACGTTACCATTGGAAGTAAGTGTTAACAGAGAACTGTATATTTATACACGTAAAACTTGTCTAAAACTTGCCTTAAACAAACTAGATGCTTTAACAGAGGACCTTAGATACAAGAATTACCTTAAATGATTGAAAGTTTGACAAACCACAACATTAAATTGAACTTTATATGGACATACTAAAGATATTATTTGATTATTTAAGCTTTGTAAAGTGAATACCCCTCAAGTCCAAATCAAACATTCAGGGATATTTCAAATATAATTGTTTTAACTATTAATTAGTTTTGCATTAGAATATCAATAACAGTGCTGTATAAGAAGAGTTGTGTAATGTCAATTGGAAAAAAAAGTAAAATAACAAAAATACCAAACTCCAAGGAAAATTCAAAATGGAAAGTCTGTTATCAAATGGCATAATCAAAAGCTCAAATACATCAAACGAATGGAAAACAACTATCGTTTCCTATACTTGGAAATTTGGCAGTTGAATAATCTGTTATACTGAATACTAAAGATAATAATATGATTTCAATAAGGTATTGTTTATGTGCCTAAACAGGAACATGTAGCAATCATTTTGACATGTCAGTAATGACATAAAGCTATGGAGGAAAGATTTTGTTTTGTTTTAATATAGTAATATGAAACATGAATATTATTTAAATTTCAGCTTATGACCCACAACAGGTGATCAGATGTAGAGGTACCTTTGTAGGACATCAGGTAAATAATCTAATATATAAGTCATCTCATTTTACATTCAATAATTTCATGGACATCAGTTTGAAAAGATGCTGTTAAAAGCACAATAAGACCAGTAAATTTTCAAGCCAATTTCCAAAATGGAAGATAAAATTGAAAATGGAACTGGTGAATGTGTCAAAGAGACAACAACCCGACCAAATAGCAGAAAACAGCCCAAGGCCACCAATGGGTCATCAACACAGCGAGAAAATCCCACACCCGGAGGCAGGCTTCAGCTGGCCCTTAAAGATAGTCCTGTTAAAATTTTGCATCAAACATTATAAAGACTTTATATTTTAAAAAATACTAAAGTGATGCATTTACTTTTTTGTGTACAGAAAGCTGTAGGATTCTGCAAAGTGGTTGAAGAATTATATTTTGATTTCTTTGTGTTGTTTATTACAGGGTCCAGTATGGTGTCTTTGTATGTCTGGTGATTTGTTGTTTAGTGGGTCTTCAGACAAAACTGTCAAGGTAAGATAAGTTATATGATGTGATAAATGTAACATGTTTTTAATGTGTATATAAAATGCTTTGTACTAGACCAACATGCTGATTCAGATTTTGTTTTTAATGCCATGTGTATATAAAATGCTTTGTACTAGACCAAAACGCTGAGTCTGATTTTGTTTTTAATGCCATGTGTATATAAAATGCTTTGTACTAGACCAAAACGCTGAGTCAGATTATGTTTTTAGTGCCATGTGTATACACAATGCTTTGTACTAGACCAACACGCTGAGTCAGATTTTTGATGTGCTAATTCTCAAGTTAAAAGTCTGATGGAAAACATGTCTCCCTACTCTTAACTCTTCAACTCTAATATAGAAATAAGATGTGGTATGATTATCAATGAGGGGACCAAATGACATAGATGTTAGGAACTATAGATCACAGTACAGCCTTCAACAATAAGAAAAACCCATACTGCATAGCAAGCTATGTAAGGCACCAACATGACAACATGTAAAACAATTCAAAGCATACTTGTCTATTTACTCCTAAATGATTGATGGAAAAACAGCTAAAACCAATATTTAAGAGATTGGTTTGACAGAGACAAGGATTGAACTTGTGGCCTCCATCTCCAGGGTGGTTTGAATTGCACCAACTAACAATAAACTTGTATGCCACAAATGTTTTATTTAATAGGTTAATGCTGACTTCCTGGTGAAATTGATGTGAGCTTTTTGAACCTCTAGTTTAATATTGAATGTACTATTTCAAGTTGGATACTGGCAAGAATTATAAATGTTTGAAGACTTTAGAAACTCACATAGTAGATTGATATAACCTTTTTAGAGCCTCTAGTTTAATATTGTACATACTATTTTAGGTTTGGGATACTGGTAATAATTACAAATGTTTGAAGACTCTAGAAACTCACATAGTGGATTGATATAACCTTTTTGGAGCCTCTAGTTTTATATTGTATGTACTATTTTAGGTTTGGGATACTGGCAATAATTACAAATGTTTGAAGACTCTAGAAGCTCACACAGGAATTGTCCTGGCATTATGTACATATGGCAACAAATTATTCAGTGGCTCACAGGATTGTAAAATTATAGTAAGTATTATTTTTGCTCATACGTTTTATAAGTTCTTCAATTGTTTGAAGAATAGTGGAAAACACTCTTGGCACCCATGTTTGCATCTCAAAATAGTGTCAGTAGTCAGTGAATTAATAATCTAACATAAATATAATTTTATATGGTGATGTATATAGGATGGTATGACCACTACAAAAACAGACAGATCTCATGCTCAAGTGTTAAGTATTAATCCCAGGTTTAAAAAATTATGCTTTTAACAGAAGCATCTTTAGTGAAGTGCAGCATTTCAACCTTGCACTTTTATTTTTTCATGAAATTAATTTGTAATGGATATCTTTGGTCATACTTATCTTGTAAGTGACTTTTTCAGATACTAATTATATACTAAATGATCAGTAATCATGTTATTTGGTATATGCATGTATGTAGGGAAGTTTGTCAGCTACTTACAAAAAGTAGGCTACTATGACCAATGTTTCTTTCTTTTACTGCAATTAGGATTTACATACTACTTAAAGCTCATTTGAAAAATGTGGATTTAAAGAATTAATTTAATTTCAATATATATGTGTTTTGTACAGCGCACAATATTATAAATGAAAAGTGTGCTATAAATTATTAATGATCATTAGTAGATTTTTAATTCAGCTCTGATATATACAAGTAATAAGTTGTAGATTTATATTCAGATATTTGTTTTTGATATCTTAAAGAAAATTGATTGATTTTTTATAGATTTGGAATATTGATACACTGGAAAAGGTTTCTGAAATTGAGGCTCATGAAAATCCTGTTTGTACTCTAACTGCTGCCAAAAATATGATCTTCAGTGGATCACTAAAAGTTATAAAGGTATGTCACATGATGGTTGTATGAATTAAGTAGATCACATGATACTGTGAATTCCTTTTTTTTCGTGTGTACTAATTATCATGGGTTGAAGAAAAATCAAATATCGGGGATATTTGATTTTATGGTTTTGACAACATCTGCATACAAGTCTATAGACAATAAACGTATCTACACTTTTGGTATTTAGCTGGATTTTGTCTCTGAATGACCTTAGATCTGTCTCCGAACAACCTTTTGACGTCAAGCAACAATCACTTTTAATTATGATGTCAGATATTTTAAATTGTGATGTCAAATTTTACGGGAACTTGTGTGATTTTAAGTAATGGCGGACAAATTTGCATACAAGTATAAATACGTCTATTAATTCTTAGTTAAACATTTAAATATGTGGTTTACCTATACCAACAAAATCCACAGAAATTGGTATCCAACAAATAAAAATTGGTATCCCATGAATAAAAATTGGTATCCCATGAATAAAAATTGGTATCCCACGAATAATGTGAGTCCACAGTAGTGCTGTAGGCCATACGATCTGAAAATTAGTAACTAAGGTTATCAGTGTTTATGATATAATATCAATACAGTGGAATGATTTCATTGTGATTGTCTTATAAAAATGAAACGGCAGTATTTGTGTGAGGCCAGTTAGTATTTAAACATTAATATAGTAGAATAAATTGAATGCTCCACATATCCTGTACACATAATTTAATATGATATATAAAAATAAGAAGATGTGTATAATTGCCAATGAGACAACTCTCCACCAGAGACCAAATACCATAGAAGTTAACAACTATAGGTCATGATACAGCCTTCAACAATGAGAAAAACCCATACTGCATAATCGGCTATAATAGGCCCTGAAATGGCAAATGTAAAACAATTCAAACGAGAAAACTAACAGCCTGATTTATGTAAAAAACAATGAACAAAATACAATTATGATTTACAGCAACAAAAGACAACCACTGAATTACAAGTTCCTGACTTGGGACAGGCACATACAGAATGTGGCTGAGTTAAACATGTTAACAGGCACCCAACCCTCCCCCTAACCAGGGACAGTGTTGTAACAGTTACAGTACAACAAATAAACAAACTATAAAAATCATTTGAAAAGGGCTTAACTCATCAGATCGATACAAAGCAGAAAAACACAGAGCAGGATATTTATGCATCCCTACAACAAAAAAGTCTAAGTACAGATCTGAGAGTACTCTCAGTTACTGACAGCTAGTTCAAAGCCAATAACAACTACTAAAAATCATGTATCTAAGATTATACTACACATCCAACATACAATGGATTTAGTGTAAAGACGCCATTAACAGTCAGAAAAACATGACCTTGTGCAATGCCAAAATACAGGTATCGACAGATTGTAGATTTGTGAATGTGCATATGTATATGTACACAAAAAGTGTATATAACAATAAGATTAGTTTACAGATAACAAAATCAATATTTATACACCAATAAAAACAATATTTAAAGATCTAATTACAGTAGTATGTTTTCTTTTATGTACTGGTAGCTACATTCTTTATATCGTACAACACTGTGTATTTTACTGACAAAATATGAGTTGTTGATTCCGCCAGAGAACACAGGTATCCTACATACCTTGGTTCATTTAATACACAAGATTTGTTGATTCAGCAACAGAACACAAGAATATGTCCCATAACACAACAATGTATGTAGTGTTTCTCTTCCAAATCTTACATGATATAAACCATGGTATATATTATATTTTAGATATGGGATGTACATGATAACCACGGTATATATTATATTTTAGATATGAGATGTACATGATAACCACGGTATATATTATATTTTAGATATGGGATGTACATGATAACCATATTATATTTTAGATATGGGATGTACATGATAACCATATTATATTTTAGATATGGGATGTACATGATACCACGGTATATATTATATTTTAGATATGGGATGTACATGATAACCATGGTATATATTATATTTTAGATATGGGATGTACATGATAACCACGGTATATATTATATTTTAGATATGGGATGTACATGATAACCACGGTATATATTATATTTTAGATATGGGATGTACATGATAACCACGGTATATATTATATTTTAGATATGGGATGTACATGATAACCACGGTATATATTATATTTTAGATATGGGATGTACATGATAACCACGGTATATATTATATTTTAGATATGGGATGTACATGCATTAAAGTTAAAGTGTGAACTGACCGGTTTGAACCATTGGGTACGAGCACTTGTAGCTACACAGAACCACTTATACAGTGGATCATACCAGACAGTCAAGGTAAACTCATACTGGGCATATAATTCTATATTTATAATTATCATATTTATAAGTTGTTACTATTTATTCCCACTGCAGATATGGCATATAGATTCAATCTTGTCTGTACATACATCCCAGTTTGGTGAAGTTTTCTTTTTATATAAAAACTAGGAGATGTGGTATGATTGCCAATGAGACCAAATATCCACCAGAGTTAAAATGAAGTGGTAGTAATCAAATATAGGCCTTCAAAAATGAGATAAACCCATACTGTATTCTCGGCTTGTAAATGCCATGACATGAAAAATGAGAACAATTACCCTAGAGATTTTTTTTGGTTAAGTTCAATTTTTGGTTAATTTCCTAGGCAAATTTGAAAATGTTATTTAACTGTTACAGTCTTCCTGCAAGCTACAATCCAATTCAGCAACAATATGGTCACTGTGACCCATTTTTTCAATTTTTGATGTTGAGTATTTGTATCGATTCAGTTTATGTACAGTTTTCTATATATTTCCCATCGTAAATATTAGCCAGATTTTTAAAGTCAGTAGTTTCTAACTGTTTAAGTTTAACATAAAAATTACAGGTAAAAGTTTCTCATTAATGTCATATTTGGAAAAAAATAGTAACTAAAAAATGCTGAGTAACTAAACGTAGCCAAAAACTGTGTTTCTAATAATCAAAGCTGGTCTCAATTTCTTTTAATAGAATGATTCAACAAGATATTAACTTGCATGTGATTGGAGGCAGTAATAGCACTCTTTGAAACAATGCTAAATTTAGTAGAAGTCATTTCTTAGCATCAGGTTGTAATAATAATAAAGAGTTGAGAAGGTTTTATAATAACAGGGAGAAAACAATTAAAACGGGAGAGTATATAGAATCTGTGGAAGTTAACTTTTCACATAACAAAACAATAGAAAATAAAATAAATCATTTCCTTTAAAAATTGGTGTACCTCAACAAAAAATGTAATATCACAATAACTTATACTGTTTATTAAATGTTTGCCCATCACTTACACTGTACCAATTAATAGGTCGTGTATGTCAAAATATTCTATCCATTTTTTCATTGGAATTTTATTTCAAGATATGGGATTTGGAGAAATTAGAGTGTGTTGATATCCTAGAGACTTCTGGTGGAAGTGTGTATAGTATAGCAATTACTCCTCATCACATACTGTGTGGAACATATGAAAATGTCATACATGTAAGTATCCCATACCATACATACTCTGTAGAATGAATGGAAATGTTTAACATGCTAATATTTCTATTATCCAATAATCTGGTGTATGTGAAATATAAAACATTCTAGTATTTTCAGTATCCCATACTCTGTGGTATTTGTGAATGTGTTTTTAACCCTATTATTTCTAGTATCCCATACCCTGTGGTATTTGTGAATGTGTTTTTAACCCTGTTATTTCTAGTATCCCATACCCTGTGGTATTTGTGAATGTGTTTTTAACCCTGTTATTTCTAGTATCCCATACTCTGTGGTATTACTGAGATTGATTAACATGCTAGTATTAGGTGAATAATTGCCTTATAATACTTTTGCAATTCTTGACATATTTTGGTAAAATATACATGATATAATACATATGAAAGATTTAAATTAATTACGTTCTGATGAAGTTAAAAAAAACTGTGCTAACTGATTGATTGAAAATGTATATGAATAGTTCAAATTGGCCCTGACATTTTAATATTTTTTAAATCTGGCCAAAAAAGTACACATTTTACAAAAAAATAGTTGTGATGTAACTATTCAAAGCAAATAATTTCAATTGGCACACCACAATATAAATTACTGTTGCACAATTTTGTGTTGTAACATCAGTTTTTGTACAATTTTTATTAAAAAATTTGCGGTCGTATATTGGTATGACGTTGGCGTCGTCGTCTAAAGACACATTGGTTTTCGCACAATAACTTTAGTTTAAGTGAATGGATCTCTATGAAATTTTACCATAAGATTCAATACCACAAAAGGAAGGTTGGGATTGATTTTGGGGGTTATGGTACCAACAGTTAAGGAATTAGGTGCCAAAAAGGGGCCATTAATAAGCATTTTTCTAGTTTCCAGACAATAACTTGTGGAACAGTGTATGGATCTCTCTGAAATTATACCACAAGTTTCCACACCACAAAGGGATGGTTAGGATTTGCTTTGGGGGGTTATGGCTCAAACCGTTTAGGAATTAGGGGCAAAAAAGGGGGGAAAACAAGGGTGTCCTGGTTAATGGACAAATACATCATTTGAATTACCTCCCTTACACTGCTTTTAAATTATGTATGAAGTAATGGTTAATGAACAATTAAGAAAATTTAAAAGCAGTGCAAGGGAGGTAATCCAAATACAACATTTTGATTACCTCCCTTACACTGCTTTTAAATTATGTTGAAAGAAATGCATATTTATAAAGGAAGACCAGTAAAAATATCTGCAAATGTTGCATCTTTTTTTTTTACCAAAAAATCCATATGAATGATTTGACACCATATTTTGAATTCTATAATAAAATAGATTAAGCTAGCACTATGGTGAATTTAAATGGGTAATTATGGTTGCAAACTCCATTGGAAATTTGGATTGAGATTATGACCATACCTTGAGGGAAAGAATTTTTTGGGGGGAAAAGGGGGGGGGGGGGTAAAAAGAAATTGTGGGAGGTCAATTTTTCTCATTTCAGATTTCAGAAATTAAAAATAGAAAAATTCTTCAAATATTAAGGTCTTTGACTACAGTTATTCTGTGTCAGAAACCTTTTATGTGTCAAATATTTAATTACAATCCAAATTCAGACCTGTATCGTCAACATGTCGGACATTAACTCAAAAAAGCTGTAACCAATATGCATGAAACTTTGGTGAATTGTTAATATCTATTGACGTGAGCTCCCTTTCGTTTTTTATAAATTTCAGATTTACCGTTTCTGAGTTTAGGGGTTTTATTCATTAAAAAAGGTGGTATTTTCCAGTTTTCCGACAATAACTCAAGAATGCTTTCACCAACTTGCAAGAAATTTTGGTGAATTGTTTATATCTATTGACATGAGCTCCATTTGGATTTTTATAAATTTAGATTTTACGTTTCTGAGTTTTGGGGTTTTATTCATAAAAAAAGGGTGATTTTCCAGTTTCGGACAATAATTCAAAAATGCTTTCAGCTGTTCTCATGAAACTTTGGTGAATTGTTTATATCTGTTGATGTAAGCTCCCTTTAGAATTTTATAAATTTTAGATTTTAAATTTCTGAGTTATGGGGTTTTATTCATTAAAAAAGGGGGGATTTTCCAGTTTTTGGACAATAACTCAAAAATGCTTTCAGCAGTTCTCATGAAACTTTGGTGAATTATTTATAGCTATTGATGTAATCTCTTTATTGATTTTCATTAATTTCAAATATGACATTGAGAAGAAATTGAACTTTATTTGTTTATAGTCTGACAACAGATTTACTAAGTATTGCGCAACAGCACAGTGTATTGCACAACAGCAAGAAATCTTTAATTGAATATAAATTCAATTCATATAACCAATTTCAAGTTCTTTGACTACATTTATTCAGAAACCTATAATATGTCAAATATTTAATTACAATCCAAATTCAGACCTGTATCAAGCTTGAATATTGTGTCCATTTTTGCCCCAACTGTTCAGGGTTGGACCTCTGCGGGCGTATCCAGCTGCACTCAGCAAAGCAGTTTATTACTATAAGAGTTATCTCCCTTTAAATGGCTAAGTTGAAAAATTGATTTGAACAAAAACAAAAAGTTGGTATTTGTTAAAACATTCCTTATAGAATTTTTGTCTCACCTTGACAGAGTCAAAAAGCGAGACATAGGAATGCTGTTTCCGCTGTCGGCGAAAATTTTTTATCAACAATATCTTAATTGAGTTTAAAACCAATGGAGATCAAAAAAGTTTTGGGTGTTACTGAACATTGAAATGAAAATTATGTTAAAAATTGCTGTATAACCAATTAGTTCTTAGTTGATTTGAATAAAAATGTATATCAACATTATTTTGATCATTATTTTTTTTGGAAAACCAGGTCAAAATTAAAATGGAAATATTTTTGACCCTTAGACTTTATGTTAATTATATCAACAATATTTGGTACAAAGTTCAAAAGCCAGTGCGAAAAATTTGATTGAATTTTAATGGACCTTTGGCTAGCACAAATTAAGGAAATAAAAGTTTTTAACACAACTGCCTCAGACAATCTTTACTTTAGTATACAATTCTTGATGGGATATGCTATGTTTATATTCACAATATCACACTGAGTTCGAAAACAAATGCATATTGAATATTTTAATACGGGTAATTATGGGAATTTAAAGTGTAAATTATATGACAAGTTGGGAATGTTATGTGTAAATTTTACGACAAACAGCCTGTTAAGTTCTTTCATGCTAAATCCTGACAATGATCATCACTAGTGCGGCGAGGTGAACATTCTTCAGTTTAATAATAGATAAATCAAACAATTTGAGGTCACTGTATGACCTTGAGAGATGATAAGCAAAACACTTTATAATAAGTAGAAGATAACTGCATGGGTTATCTTTTGGTAGAAGGCTAGATTTAAAGGATACGATTTTACAACTTTAACAAGCAAAGCTAGAATTTACAAATAAGTTAATAATTTTATAAAAAATAAGAAATTTGTTATTTTATCTTCAGTTTTCCTTGCTTTTATACCTGTGCTTTATATTTTAGGTGTGGGAAATAGATAGCAAAGAAAATGCAAAGACATTGAAAGGCCACAGTGGCACAGTGTATGCCTTAGCCACATTACAATCTCCTACGGGTATTAAAGTCTTCAGTGCATCATATGACAGATCTTTAAGGGTAGGTAACTCTTTTGTACATGTCTTACTGTGTTGTACCTTAGCCACATTACAATCTCCTATGGGTATTAAAGTCTTCAGTGCATCATATGACAGATCTTTAAGGGTAGGTAACTCTGTTGTATATATATATTACTGTGCTATACCTGCTATCTGCATGTTAATCGAATGGTGGATCTTTAATGATAAGAATTTGTAATATACTTCATCATAGTTGTCTCATTAACAATTAAATAACATTTCCTTATCATACCCCCCCCTCCTTTTTGAAGTAGGCAGTTTAAAGTGATTGGGGACATTTTCTCTTTGCCTTTGATGTACTGTGTATTTCCATGTTATTATTGTTTCCTGTACGCTCATATACCATATTTTCCTTAAAACTAGCTGATAGTAATTACATTAGCTTTGGTCTCTTGTGGAAAGTTGTCTGATTGGCAATCAAACAACATCTAATTTTAATACTGTAGAAAAGAAACTCACTTACGTTGATTGCTTCAGCACTGTTGGCTATTTCATGGCAGCCAGTTTTTATTGGTGGAGAAAGCCAGAGTGCTCTGAGAGAACCATGACCTTTGGCAGGAAATCTGACAATCCTAGTCAATTGAGATTGGAGTCGAACACACCTTCCCTGAGAGGGACTCGAACTCACAACCTCAGTGTTGAACTACTTAGACTACTCGGCCACCTAGGTCCCTCTCACTCAACCTTGACAATAATAATGAGTTTAAATCTATAAACAATAACTGCTGAAGGTGTAATTAATTTGGCATTTTTCCAATACTGTGGATTCATTTATTTTCGTGGGTACCAATTTTCATGGATTAGGGAAAATTTGCATGTTCGTGGATATTTAATTTCGTGGTTTTACCGAAAGTCTGCGTACAAGCCTATACAAAATATGTCATTCGTTGAACATTTAATTTCGTGGTTCACTTGTACCCACGAAATCCACGAAAATTGGTATCCAACGAATAATAATGAATCCACAGTAAAATGATTTGATAAAAACAATATTTTTCACAGACAACAATTTGTGTTAACAATTTATTGTTTATATCATATAATAATGTTATCGTTTCTTTCCGATGTCTGCCAATAAGTAGACCAACTTATGCATGTAGTTGTCAATGTAGTTATCCTGTTGACTCTGTAGGAATGGATTGAACTTTACTGGAATAAAAACAAAATATAATAGTTATATCAATTAATGTATTTTTCATATTCTTAGAAATAATAAATAATGTTTTCCCCATCAGCAATAAGATAAGTTTTGTCTTTAATACAATGTTTAGCTAGGTGGTGAAAATAAATATAAACCACAAAATTACAAAAAAACAGTAATTTCAGGTGCTGTGACTATTTCATTGTGGCTTGTTATTTGTGGCTTGGTTAACAAAAGCCACTAGTGTCCTATTCAATTATGGATTTATGACACTTGAAAGACTGAACCCTATCAGGCAAGAAACAAATGCTCCCTTTGTTTGCTCATGGGTTACAATATTTCTCCATATTTGAACTCAACCAATCATGAGTGGACAAATATTATAACCTACAGATAATATGAACAGGGTCTAAATGTAATTTAAACTGTTTGATAGTAGATTGAAATTTACTTAACTTCCATATTTTAAAAAATATGAATTGTTTCTGGTAATTCTGATTTTGTAAAGCTATAACTGCAATTTGATAATGTCTAAAAGATTTACATTAAAGTATTATTGGAATGTTTTTGTAAGCATTTCTAAATTATTGATGTATTACTATTAGCATTAGATTATTTTTTTTAGTTTTGGTGTATTTACACTACATAGAAATAACTTATTATTATTAGTCCTCTAGATTCAGAAATTGGCATCAATTACCTTACCTTACCTCAACATTAACTGTTCTGTAGTGTATTAAAAAGGAAACAATCATGTTACCTTCCGGAGCACCTGAGATCAACCCCGTTTTTTTGGTGGGGTTCATATTGTTCAGTCTTTAGTTTTCTATGTTGTGTTTTGTGACCTGTTGTTTGTTTTTTCGTCGTTTTTTGCCATGACATTGTCAGTTTGTTTTCTGCTTATGAATTTGAATATCCCTCTGGTATCTTTCGCCTCTCTTTTACTAGATTAAGTTTTAGAAAATAATTGATGGAAGATATAATTTGTTTTTCTTTCATGGATGTGTAAACTTGGATTGTAAAGTCATGAACTGATAAATCAAGGATGATTTAAGCATGCTTTAAAATAAACAGTTCATATAGAAATTTAAAAAAAATAATTGTTACTTTGACTCTGCAACTTGAAGGGATGGATCCATTGTATTGAAATAACTATAGTTAGGGTGTGATGGACCTTTATCTTGAATGCTCTGTATCATCAGTATTCTTTAGAGTTACAGATTTACTTTATATGATTTTTGTGGGTACACGACTGGAATCTGTAGTTTGAAGACTAAGGTTACAAAGGTCCATATTTACCAATGTCAAAACTTTGATAATTTTCCTTATTGATAAACAGTAGTATTCTTTTTTGGGTACTTTACTTTTGAGCAAGTGTCAGGGTCTCTTTTTACAAATAATCTTACGATAAAAATTGAACGTAAGTTATACTGAAATGTTCATGACTTACAAGTATATTTTTTTGTAAGATTTTGGTGAAATTATGAGTTGCAGATACATGTATGTATCCAGAAATAATTTAAAAAAAAAAAACACTTAAAAAGCAAAAATGGAAAAAGGGCATCACACTCCAAGATGTTGTCTGTGTTTGATATAGTGTGACATGTTTCCATTAAATTTTTCTATGCCAAGGTAATCTTTCCTGTTTTCAGTTTATATCATAGCTAAAATGTTTATAACAAAGGGCGAAATTGATTTCAAATAATTGTTAGTATGAAATTGATTTCAAATAATTGTTAGTATGAAATTGATTTCAATAATTGTTAGTATGAAATTGATTTCAAATAATTGTTAGTATGAAATTGATTTCAATAATTGTTAGTATGAAATTGATTTCAAATAATTGTTAGTATGAAATTGATTTCAATAATTGTTGCAATAAGTTCATTAACAGTCATCTGATTTTATTGACAATAATTATCTGTCTCAAAGGGAGAGTACAGAATATTTATTGGTGTTTCTTGAGAAATTTAACAGTCAATATATAATACATCTGCCCTTGTAATAACAATTTGTTCATAATTACCTCTCAATGTCTAAATTACTGTTATTTGGGCAAACTATTGGAATATATAACAATGAACAGAAATAATCCCTATCCATCTTGCAGTGTGTCACTTTATTAAAAATACCCATTCTACACTTTGGAAGTTGTCAACAGTAATTTGATTGATTGATTGTGTTGTCAATTTCTCAATGTGCCCTAAGCTTATTGCAGCTGTTTCCTGGGTTTTCAGTGACTATCATTTACATGCTGATAATGCAAGGTCTGCTTTTGGGAGCATTCAGTATGAAAAAAAAATATGTGGGGTATAAGACAATAAGACAGCTATCCAACCACACAAAAATCAAAGAGACGTATAAAGCTTAAGAGAGGCATACAGTCTTCACAAATAGACAAGTGTCCTTATAATATGTCAAATGTTAAACTCTACATCATACTGAGTTCAAAATATAACAGAAACAGAAGTTGATGACTTTATAATGACAAGCACTAAGCTCTTACGTCTATTTGAAACTACTAAGAACTGTACTGTGTAAATCAGAGAGTATAGTGCAGTCTTTGACAATCAATGTAAACAGTAAGGAAAACTAACTATTGGCTTTGATAACCAACTGTCAGTTCCAGACCAGAGTCAGAAAAAGAATTATAATAAAATCTTACATACCTTATTGAAATAAAGAATATAAGAATAAAAAGATGTGGTATAATTACCAATGAGAGCTCAGACAACTAACCCCCAGAGACTAAATACCGTAGATGTAAGCAACTATAGGTCACTGTACAGCCTTCAACAATGAGCAATACTAATACCTTAAGTAATCTATAAATCTATATACAATAAAAGAAGAACAAATATGATAGACAGGAACCAAGGACAACCACTGAATTATAGACTCCTGACTTGGGGCAGGCACATATAAAATGTGACAGGGTTAAACAATGCTGTGAGCACAAACCCCCCCCCCCCCCCCCCCCCCCTAACCTAGGACAGCAGGGTAACAGCACTATATAATAACAAACTGTAAAAATCAGTTGAAATGATTGGGTTCTCTTTCTATAAATCTGCGTGCCATCTTACTTACTTAATGGACACAGAGATTATTTGTACCTTCTCTTTCTATAAATACATGCAATATCACAGAGGTTGACTTTGTATTAGAAGGAAATTTGAGTACCCAGGGTTAACCTTTGACCTTCAGTGAGAAAGTAGTAATGATTGGTTAACTGTAAATGTGAGTGTCCATTAATTACTCTGACCATTCCGCTAAGCTCTCAGAATGGAAAAAAAAATTGCAATAGTTAGCTTATTGTCTAATCCTTATGTATATAATTAAATGTTGGTTATATTTCAATGGGACAGAAACCCAACACAACCAAAATGCTTAGATACTATGACCTTATGACGCAAGGATGAATAAATTATGTCCATCCAGGTATAGTTGGTCATTGACATATAATACTTGATTGAACAGACCTTTTTGTTCTTTGTGATGAAGCAGGGAAAGGGATATGGAATGCTGATATATGTCTGACTAACCATAACCCTACCCCTAACCCTAACCATAACCATGAAATGCATATCAAAGATTTATACCAGGTAACAGAAGATCTGGAGTGATCAATTATTTTTGGGGGAGCTATCTATGCCCTTTAAAATATAAATAATTGGAAATTGATACTAAAAGAACTTTTGTGCCATTAAAGTTTAATTAAACTTTTGCAAAATGTTTTCAATAGCAATATCATAGATAAGTTAAAATAACAGAGTCGCTGGAATAGTTGGGGACTTATGCCCCTTGGAAATGTAAATGATATTAAAATAAAAATTGTAAGCATTCTCACACTTGCAGTCCTCTTTGTATATTCATAATTTTTTTAATAAACATTAATCTTATTTTTTAGAACATGTTGCATAAACCTTTCTGAAGTCCTAATTAGGTATGTCCCCAAAGTAGCACAAATATAAGTCTATACTGATGAGGAGAGTAAATCACACCAATTTGTTATGCCATATTGGGTAATGTGAATTATAATATGAAGTTTGTATATACCAAGCACTAGAAATAAATTGTTTTTTACATTCAAGGCCTCTTCTTTCAAGCAGTGCCACCTACATTGAATTAGTATTATATTGGATATGAAAATCACTACTTTTTATGACTGCTCCAGAATGTTATATTAAAAATTAAGGAACATCATCGTAAAATCTTTATAACTGCTATGATGTCATAACAAACATCAGAAATGAATATTATCTCTAGAAATGTTGAATGTTACAGTGATACAATTATGTATTTTATTGAAGTACATTATAATAATAGTAGTATCGTGAGAAATTCATTATTATATTGTATACTATTGTAATAATAGTGTGAATATGGTCATGACAGTTTTACAATTTTATCAATTAAATGGTTGAAAGGATCTACTATCAAGTCAATGGGATGATTTTGCTAGGATAGATTTGTTGTATAGCTAATGAAGTCTTCAATAATTTATCATGCTGCGTTATACACTGATATTCTTCCCATATTTTATGAATAACCTCTGGTCATAGATTGGAAAGTCCAGCCTTGAATTTAAACTTTGTATGCATTGTTTCATCCACTTATCTTAAAAACAATATAGTTTAACTTAGGGTCATTGTGTTTCCCATTGTTTTTTCTAACAAAGAAATGTGCTGTACAGCTGTGGGTCAACTAGTTACCTGAACCATTTCATCAACTGTGCTTAGAATTAATTAAAATCTTTTTAAATAAAATCTTTCGAGAAAATAATTCTGATTAACTTCCTTAGATTACAGAAAGTCAGTGTATCAAGAAAAACTATAATTTAAAGCTAATGGAGAAAGTCAGTGTATCATTGAAAGCTATTGTTTAAAGCTTATCAAATGAAACTTTCCTAGATCAGAGAAAGTCAATGTATCAATGAAAGCTATGTTTAAAAACTAATCAAATGAAACTGCATTAGATCAAAGAAAGTCAGTGTATCAATGAAAGCTATGGTTTAAAGATTTTTAAATGAAACTTCCCTAAATCAGAGAAAGTCAGTGTATCAATGAAAGCTATGTTTAAAAACTAATCAAATGAAACTTCCCTAGATTAGAGAAGGTCTGTGTATCAATGAAAGCTATGTTTAAAGCTTATCAAATGAAACTTCCCTAGATCAGAGAAAGTCAGTGTATCTAGGAAAGCTATGGTTTAATGCTTATCAAATGAAACTTCCCTAGATCAGAGAAAGTCTGTATTTAGGAAAGCTATGGTTTAATGCTTATCAAATGAAACTTCCCTAGATCAGAGAAAGTCAGTGTATCTAGGAAAGCTATGGTTTAATGCTTATCAAATGAAACTTCCCTAGATCAGAGAAAGTCTGTATTTAGGAAAGCTATGGTTTAATGCTTATCAAATGAAACTTCCCTAGATCAGAGACAGTCAGTGTATCTAGGAAAGCTATGGTTTAATGCTTATCAAATGAAACTTCCCTAGATCAGAGAAAGTCAGTGTATCTAGGAAAGCTATGGCTTAAAGCTTATCAAATGAAACTTCCTTAGATTAGAGAAAGTCAATGTATCAATGAAAGCTATGTTTAAAAACTAATCAAATGAAACTGCATTAAATCAAAGAAAGTTAGTGTATCTGGGAAGCTATAGTTTAAAGCTAATCAATTGAAACTTCCCTAGATGTGAAAAAGTCAGTGTATCTGGGAAAGCTATGGTTTAAAGCTAATCAAATAAAACTTTCCTAGATCAGAGGAAGTCAATGAATCTAGGAAAGCTATGGTTTAAAGCTAACCAAATAACACTTCCCTAGATCAAAGAAAGTCGGTGTATCATGGAAAGCTATGGTTTAAAAATAATCAAATGAAACTTCCCTAGATCAGAGAAAGTCAGTGTATCTAGGAAAGCTATGGTTTAAAGCTTATCAAATAAAACTTCCTTAGATCAGAGAAAGTCAGTGTATCATTAATTGAAAGCTATGATTTAATGCTAATCAAATAAAACTTTTCTAGATCAAAGAAAGTCAGTGTATCTGGGAAAGCTATGGCTTACAGTTTATCAAATAAAACCTCCTTAGATTAGAGAAAGTCAGTGTATCATGGAAAGCTATGGTTTAAAGCTGATCAAATGAAACTTCCTTAGATTAGAGAAGGTCTGTGTATCAATGAAAGCTATGGTTTAAAACTTGTCAAATGAAACTTCCCTAGATCAGAGAAAGTCAGTGTATCAATGAAAGCTATGTTTAAAAATTAATCAAATGGAACTGCATTAGATCAGAGAAAGTCAGTGTATCTGGGAAGCTATAGTTTAAAGCTAGTCAATTTAAACTTCCCTAGATCAGAGAAAGTCAGTGTATCTTGGAAAGCTATGTTTTAAAGATAATCAAATGAAACTTCCCTAGATGCGAGAAAGTCTGTGTTTTTGGCACAGCTATGTTAAAAAGTTAATCAAATGTAATTTTTCTAAATAAGAGAAAGTCAGTGTATATAGGAAAGCTATGGTTGAAAGCTAATTCAATGGAACTACCCAAGATCAGAGAGAGTCAGTGGTTCATGGAAAGTTATAGTTTAAAGCTAATCAAATGAAACTTCCCTAGATCGGAGAAAGTCAGTGTATCTTGTGAAGCTATGTTTTAAAGCTAATCAAATGAAACTTCTCTAGATGCGAGAAAGTCAGTGTATCTGGGAAAGTTATGTTCAAAAGCTTATCAAACGAAACTTTTCTAGATAAGAGAAATTCAGTGTATATAGGAAAGCTATGGTTTAAAGCTAATCAAAAGAAACTTCCCTAGATCAGAGAGAGAGTCAGTGTTTCTTGGAAAGCTATAGTTTTATGCTAGTCTTATGAAACTTTCCTAGATCAGAGAAAGTCAGTGTATAAATGAAAGCTATGTTTAAAAGCTAATCAAATGAAACTTATCTAGATAAGAGAAAGTCAGTGTATATAGGAGCTATCATTTAACGCTAATAAAGTGTAACTGCCCTAGATGATATCAAAGAAAGTCAGTGTATCTAGGAAAGCTATGGGTTAAAGCTAATCAAAGGAAACTTCTCAAGATTAGAGAAAGTCAGTGTATCTAGGAAAGCTATGGTTTAAAGCTATTCAAATAAAACTTTTCTAGATCAGAGAAAGTTAGTGTATCTAGGAAAGCTATGGTTTAAAGCTATTCAAATGAAACTTCCCTAGATCAGAGAAAGTCAGTGTATCTGTTAAAGCTATGGTTTAAAGCTAACCAAATGAAACTTCCCTAGATTAGAGAAAGTCAGTAGATCTGGGAAAGCTATGGTTTAAAGCTAATCAAATGAAGTTTCGCAGAGTTTAGAGAAAGTCAGATAACATTGTTGATTGCGATTGATTTTTTAGACATTTTTATTTGGTGCGAATTCTATATTTTTGAAATTATAGATAATGATCAGTTTATCAGACAACTATAATTAAGAGATAATGTATACACAACTAAGGATATTGAGTGGTATTTATTATCACATTCTGTACATTTTTGCAATGGTATAAAATTTTACATTCATTGAAAAATGCTGGCATGAGCTTTTGTCATTATTTTGCATTTATTGTTGTTTGACAGTCATCCTAGGGTGGTTACTTTACGTGTATATATGTCAAATAACATGATTAAGTGTGTGATGAATAGAAAATAATTTTAAGGCTTCAACTTATATTGTTAAAAAAACAAAAAATAGCAGGCTTTTAGCACAAACTAAAGTATTAATTTGACAAGTTTTCTGTTAACTTATTTAAATTCTCATAAATAATGGAATTCATCGAAATAAGATTTTTGTAACATGGAATACAAAAAGTATTATTTCTATCTACATGATTCTGTACTTTTAGTTCAACTAATTTGAAACAGCATTTTTGTTTTTCTGTGATAAGGTATAATTTGAGTAAAAAACTAACTTTGGTCTGCACTTTTGATTTTTCTGTGAAAAGGTATAATTTGAGTAAAAAACTAACTTTGGTCTGCACTTTTGATTTTTCTGTGAAAAGGTATAGTTTGGGTAAAAACTAACTTTGGTCTGCACTTTTGATTTTTCTGTGAAAAGGTATAGTTTGGGTAAAAACTAACTTTGGTCTGCACTTTTGATTTTTCTGTGAAAAGGTATAGTTTGGGTAAAAACTAACTTTTGATTTTTCTGTGAAAAGGTATAGTTTGAGTAAAAACTTACTTTGGTCTGCACTTTTGATTTTTCTGTGAAAAGGTATAGTTTGGGTAAAAACTTACTTTGGTCTGCACTTTTGATTTTTCTGTTAAAAGGTATAGTTTGAGCAAACATATCTCCTGGTCCCCCATACAGTCGAAAACCTGGAAATTACAATAATTAAGTAATAACATGTCCTTCTGAAATGTTCAAGGAAGCTTCAGAATAAATCTGCTAATATTGAAATCATGCTGTTAAAATATATTCTGGACTCTGCACTCTAAAGTTCTAAACACAAAATCCATTATTTTGATTGGTTGATTTCTGAGTCTTGAGTTAAATTAATCATGCAAGAAATTTTAATGACTGGCAGACCTGTAATAGGTTGTTGTATACTTCCATGGAGGTTTAATTAAGCATACTTTGCAGAAAAAATGCTCTTGCCTATGCCAATAATAAATTTGTGTACAGAATTCCAAAACAGAAAAGAAAAATAGACAAAACATTTAGTTTCAAGCTGTAATTTTAATCTATGATAATCAAACAGACAAGTTTAAAGTGTGAAGAAAAGGGAATGTTGGCTGTACATCATCTAGGTAGCAACCCAACTATACACAATTGAAAATTGAAAGTTTTATTTTAAATCATATTTCAAGTAACAGCATTTGAATACCTTGTGTTATATCTGTCTCTATGATGAAATTTTTACTCAATGAAAATAATTATTAAGACCAGCCTTTGAATTTTTTTTATAAATGAATTTGAATAGTTTTGAAAGTGCATATGAATTGTAATAAACTACTGTTTAAATAATTTTATACTAAGTACAGCATTTAATATAAAGTATAGCATTTACAGCCATATATGATGTCATTACACTCTCTAAATTGCTGTAAACATATAATTTTCAGATTATGTTTGTCGTTTTAATCTTCATCTTTGTATTTATAATGTCCACATAATCAAATGAGATTTCTTAAAATTTAATAAAAAAATATTCTGTATTTGGAAATTATTTTAGAATTTAAAGTAAATAAGAAAAGTATAATCTGAAATTCAGAAAAAAGTTTTGGTGTTGAGTCTTTCATACTTTTTATTCTTCACTTTATTGTAATATTTTTAGCATGTGATATGTCTGGTGTTTAGTTAAGACATGTATCAAGATAATGATACATAAAAATGATAACAGGAATCACCCAAAATACTGCATAGTACAACTGACCACATCAAAAACCAGTATAAAAAAAAATGATTTAATTTTAGTACAATCTTCTAAGAATTTAATTAACTAGTACATATATCCATTAATATTTCAAATGAAATATGTTTTTATACTATATGATGTTTAGTTTTTTATGTAATTGAAATAACTCGTTTCAATTTCTTTAGCATGGTTAACAGTTTTATGCGACACCAACTCATCAATTGTGCATCATGAAAAAATCCTTAATGTAAGTCTAAACTTTTGGATGAAAATCAAAATTTAAGTTCATAAAGCTTGTATCTTTTTTTTCTCTTAATTTAAAATTTTAATTCAAAATATTAAAACAATGTCTTACCTTGTATTACTATACAAAGTGAAAGAAATGCGCCAATAACAACGTAATTCTTCATATTAATGGCGGGTATAATTTCTCCTGTAGGATGACCATGTGATTCTGTCGGTTCACAACAATCAAGTTATATATATACCATGTGTGGATCTGACTTAATTAACCTTAAGATTGTATCAATGTAGGATGGAGGAGCAATCATTCCATTTATATGTCTAATTTTAATTGAAGCAGAGTTAATTTGTAATTAATCCCACAATATTCAAAGACAGATGCCTTAATATTTGATAATAGAAAATTTGTAAGCAAAAAAAAACAATATTTATTTTTAAAAAGTCAAAGTAAATGATTTACATTTGATTGGTCTTGGGTGAAACAATCAATTATTTTACAGTGAATGTGATTTAAGTGATAAAGAATTTCATTAATTCCAGTAACAAATATTTTTTCCAATTTTATATGATTAAAGAAAAATGTACTCTTGTACCTTCCCCTATTTAATACATTTTTTATGTAAAAATTAAACACAAAATAATAGAGAGTAGTTTTAAATAGCAAAATTGATCAGCAAGACAAGATCTACAAATAAGTCAACATGACTGAAATCGTCAGATGACTCCTTAATGGAGTTATTGCTCTTTAATGACGTTGTCAAATATCTTAAATACTAAAATAGATAGATAGACACTTTAAAAAGTCAAAAGGATCAGTAAGATCTACAAATTAGTCATATGGACAAAATTGTCAGTCAACTCCTAATTGTAGTTTAATTTTTGCATTTTTGTCTATCATCTTGAAAATAAGAAAAATGATAGATCTACACTTTAGACAAGAAAAATTATCAGCATGACAAGATCTATAAATAAGTCAAATTTTGATGAATCGTTATTAGAATTTTATAGGAGTGATTGCTTTTAAATGTCATTTTTTTTTATCTCTCTTTTGTGAGAGAAACTCAGAAAACAGAAAAAATGATCAGCAATACAATTAAAAAAAAATATGTTTGTCATGAATCCTATTCTAGTCTACAATGTTGGAGAGTGCCCATCAATTAAGATGCACATAGACCAAGGTGAGCAACACACTGGTTGAAATTGTCAGTTGACATATTGTGGGAGTTGTTGCCCTTGAACTACTATTTTAACCATTTTCTGTTATTTTTGCGTAAACTATAGTAGATGGAGAGAAACTGTAAGATGCAAAAATGATCAGCATGACAAGATTTACAAAAAAAGTCAACATGGCATAAATCATCTGTTGACTCCATATGTCAGTAATTGCCCCTGAAAAATAATTTTTACCATTTTGTTGGGTTTTTTTTATGCAGAATTTTTAGTATATTGAAAGAAACTATATATATCATCTATAGCAAAATTGATAAGCAGGACAAAATCTACTGTTTAGTCAACATGGCCATAATTGTCAGTTGACTCCTAATAGGAGTTATTGCCCTTTCATAGTGATTTATATAATTTAGTGTTATTTTACTGTAAAAAGCTAAAATTATCACCTTGAAACAAACTACAAATTAGCCAATATGCCTGAAATCATAAGTGTACTCCTTTTAGGAGTTATTGTCCTTGAAGGATGAAATGATATTTTTCTCCATTTTTTCTATACTATTTGAATTATTCTCATTGCATTGTGTCAATTTTATGCCAAGTTGACAATTGAGTGATACAGGATCCCTGAACCCTCTTGTTCAGTGGTTTAGTTGCATTAGCAATATTATGATAAAAGCTTGCTTTAGTATACAAATTTGATGCAACGGAAATCAGAACAGATTTATAAATTTCAAAATTAAACTTGATATAAAAATAAGGAGATGAGGTATGATTGCCAATGAGACAACTTATTTAATATCCACCAAAGTTCAAATATAGTGGATGTAGGCAATTATAGGCAACCGTACGGCCTTCAGCAATGAGAAAAACCAATACCGTATAGTATAGTGGGCTAGAAAAGGCCCCTACATGAAAAATATGAAACAATTCAAATGAGAAAACCAACAGCCTAATTTATAACAAAACAATTTACGAAAAAAACAAATATGACAGACATGAACCAACGACAACCACTGAACTACAGGCTCCTGACTTGGTTCAGGCACATAAAGAATGTGGCGGGGTTAAACATGTTTGTGAGCATCCAACCCTCCCCCTAACCTGGGACAGTGGTGTAAAGATGCTCCTTTTCAATACAGTGTTACTTGATGATATCCAGTGACATTAATTTGTGAAAAGTTCTGACTAAGAGAATGAAGAAGATCTTCCTTATTAATAGCTGGAATGACAAGTTCTGATAAAGAAAATTAAGAAGATCTTCCTTATTAGTCCCCTACCGACAAAGTTGAAGGGGACTTTAGGTTTGCACTCCGTTTGTTTTTGTCTGTCTGTCAGTCCAGCAAATCAGTTTTCAATACTTTTTTCTTCATGCTTGAAGATATTGATTTGATATATGGTGTATTGTTTAATCATGACAAGTTACAGATCAAGTTCGAATTTTGTTTCAGTCTGACAATTTTGTGCAGAGTTATGGTCCTTGAACTTAGAAAATTCACTCAAATAATCAGTTTTCCTCACTTTTTTTTGTCATGCTTGAAGATATTGATTTCATGATTGGTATATAGTTTTAGGATGACAAGTTACAGATCAAGTTGGAATTTTGTTCCGGTCTAATGATTTTGTGCAGAGTTATGGTCCTTGGACTTCAATTTTCCCCTTTTTTTTGTCATGCTTGAAGATATTGACTTAATATTTGGTTTAAAGTTTCACCATGACAAGTTATAGATCAAGTTAGCATTTTGTTCCAGTACAATGAATTTTTAACCGGTAGGGGACTATGTATTGCCAGGCAATACTCACAGAATGCTTGTTAATAGCTGGAATGACAAGTTCTGATAAAGAGAATGAAGAAGATCTTCCTTATTAATAGCTAGAATGACAAGTTCTGATAAAGAGAATTAAGAAGATCTTCCTTATTAATAGCTAGAATGACAATATGTTTGGTTTATTTAACAATCCTTCTTTTTGTCTTCTTATACGAAATCAAAAATATGACACTTAATTATGTACTGATTGAGAGTTAATTCTATCATTTACTGGCTAAATTCGTAAGTGATGGAAACTACTTCCTGGTCCTCATACTAATATAATATTATGCTAAAATCGCCACACATTTAATCACATTTTCCTTGCTAATATTAAGAGTATGGGGCTAAACTTAACTTTTTGTAAACCTTCATATGTTACAACAATATTTCCAAATTGAGTTCTTGTCAGACAATATTATAGAAAAATAGTCTGAAATTATATTGGTAACTTGTACTATCCAGTGAAAAAAGTTTGAGTAAAATTCTTAGAAATTAAAAAAAAAAAAGATTTCAACTGCCTCAGGCAAAGTTGACCTAGGATGAATTTGGCTCTTTTTCTAGGTCCTTTTTGGTCATATAGCTCTTCAACTGTTCTGTTCTTATACATCCTTGGCTTTCAAATATCCGCTATGAGTGTTCCAGAAAAATGCTCAATTAGAACGCATGAAATTTATAAAGCGTTGTTTTCATTTTTCAACCACTAGGTTGAAATAGTTTTGAGTGGAATTCTTAGAAACAGCTTAAAGTATAGTGTAAAAAAAGATATCAAATTCTTTATATAGCTATACCAATGTATAAAAAACCCATTCAATGTCAATAATGTAATTCTACAGCAATGTTTACTGTACCGTTCTGTTTATTTTATCGGTGTGAAAAACAATGAACTTTTTGTAACTGTTTACCCACCCACTATTTAACAAGATTTATTGGACAGTCGTTAATGACATTACTGCTTTCCATCAAAAACCAATTGCTCTTTTTCAATAACTAATCAATGGTCATCAAAAGGCAATCATTCTAAGCCGGAGGGAATGATCATAGGACAGTCACTTCTCCTGAACGTTTATATCAGTAAATGTTACAGATTTACTACATCAACAGGATTTAACAAATCCCCTTATCAATTTATTTGGTTAAATTTTTAATTTAGATACATATGAGGAAGCAAAGTGGCATGTTTCTTATGTCAAGATAAAGTACATGTGTAAGCATTTTATTTCCTCAATGGGGATAATATTACTAGATAATTGCATGTTCAATCAATTGCAGGTTTCAATATACCAGTGAGACTAATGTTACATGTTTATATATTCTATATATATATATATAAGGGTCTAAAGAAAACAATGAACCAGCAAATTTAATAGGTAACAAGTCGTGTTGAATATTGATGATATTACACAAACAGGAATTACTATACGATAGAATATGCAATGTTACTGATAGACATATTCTTGAGATCTTTTTCATCTTTAATAAAAACCTACAAATCCCACACAAAACATAGGGATTGGATATTTGAACAAAATCTTGTTTACAAGATCCAGGAAGGCTTGCTCAAGCAATTACAGAAATTCTATTTAGTTTAATCTAAATTATATGTGTTGATAATTTTATTGCTCTATATTGAAAAAGGAAAACAGTTTGAACCTAAAATGAAATTTGTTCTAAAATTAGACGAAGAGCAATTATTGAACTTTTAGAGATAGCTTAGCCACCAAACAAATGGTCACTTCTTATTTTTATATCATGTAACCTTTTGGATTATTTTAGCCACTAAACAGGGCCATCATGTAACCTTTTGGTTTTTCTTTGACCATCATGTGACCTTCAGTACTATCTTCATTGACCTTGGCCACTTAATAAAGGGTGATCATGTAGCCTTTTGTAAAATCTGATCCATCAGAAACATTGTCAATATTAGCCACAAGACAAAGGGCCTTCATCTCACCTTTAAAACCTTTTTTGTCATTAGATAAAAGTCATTCTGTTAACTTCCAGGTTTTCAGGAAAGGGCCTTCTAATGATATTTCAGGATATTTTTCCACAGTTAACCTTTGTAGCCTTCAAGTTTTATGTTCATTGCGATGGAAATGAAACCTTTCTCCAGAATGAATTGTAATTTACCTGTCCATTTAAAATTTTGCAGAATGAACTGAATAAATCCAATAGCTTTTGTTTTCTGTGGACTTCTATTGGGAACTTTTCTTCTTGAAAAAACAATCATTCATAGATTAATTCAACGGGACAAAAAAAAGCCCCAAGTGATGAAAATACATGTTCCAATACTGAACCATGACAAACATTGTCAAGACAATATTTTTTTTTTGGTTTATGAGAAATAAATAGCAGTTTATTTTGGTTTTTCTAGTGATAAAAGTTAATGTGGGTATAGCAATGCAGTCAACAGACACAATACAATTAACTAACTTAAATGTAAATTTATTACAGTTGACATAAATAAGTTGTTGGATGTTGATTGAATACAACATCATACACAGTGTGTCATTATTCAGTATATGTACGTATTGGTACAAGTATTTTCATCACTAGAGTTTATTTTTTTGTACATTAAAATCAATTATTTGTTTTTTTGAGGAGAAAGTTCCCATAGAATGAACTCTCTAGAGAACAATAGCCATTGTATTTATTCAATTGGACAGTGCAAAAAAATGAAAAGGACAGGTAAATTCCAACTGATTTAGGGGAAAGGTTTCATTTCCTTTGTAATAATTTGACTTGTATTTAAAACCTGTTTCTTTGGCTAAATATTTCAATATCGTAAATAAATACCAACATTTTTCCACAGTTACTGTATCTAAACTGTAAAATAGTTTCCTGATAATGAGTTTTGCAGCTTTTGAGTATTGAAAACATGTGTACACTACACATACTCTTTCAATTATGAAGGAGCTAAAAAAGACCCAAATACCACTCTGGAAGGCATTTATTCCCTGTGATGCAATGCAGGCTTAAAAGCTGCAACTGAAACAAACATTTGTTTTTGTAGGTATGGAGTATGGATAATATGATTTGTACACAGACACTAATCAGACATCAAGGAAGTGTGGCATGCCTAGCCACATCCAGGGGCAGGGTATTCTCAGGAGCTGTAGACAATACTGTCAAGGTAAGAAAGTGTGGCATGACTAGCCTGGTCAAGGGTGTGCACATTCTTAGGACCTTTAGACAATTTACTACATGGATTGACTTCTAGGGGCAGGATTTTTTAGGATCAATACTTTAATGTTAGGAAATGTGGCTTGTCTAGGAACTTTCAGTATAAGGATATTTTAAGGACAACAAGATAATGAAATCACAGGATCTTTACACAATAAAGTTTGATTTAATTTCAAATTATTTTTTTTTTAAATTGTTCATTGTCCAACACTTTTAAACATGTAGTTAGAATGATAAGACACAACATCTTGCTCCCTGTTCTGTGTTTTGAACAAATGAGCAAGTGGAATGAATCAATAATCGTAATTTAAAATTTATTAAGGGTTGTAAATTTAAAAAAAAAGGAATGTAAGAACTTTTAATTTCTTGTAATATTTTCATTTTCACAGTTTTTCTGAAAAATAAACAGTGGCACCACTCCTCGCCCACAAATATTTTTGCTGAAATATTCTTTTATATACCATATTCTTTATTTTTCAACCACAATTTCAAAGGCAAAGGGTGGCGCCACATATGAAATCATGAAATGATGTTAAATAAGGTAAAAAATATCTAGAAAATGGAATAAAATAAAATAAAATCTTAGGCTAATATATATATAATATATTTTAGCAGATTTACAACTTTTTAATTATATTTGCAAAATAATACATTTAGCAATACATACACATTAGCTTAACTGAAACAATTGGAAGTTTTAAAAATACACCATTACAGGGCGGTTTATTGGGGTTCCTTTAGGAGCAAAAATGTTTTGTACAGGTATATTGAAATAACTGAACAGTCTGAACATAAGCTGAACAGATTGCAATTGACTGAACATTACTGAATTGAGATGGATATGTCTGAAAATTGACTGGATTAAACTGAACATGACTTAATAATTTATTGTTCACTCTTTTTAGAGCTGTTCAGATAAAAATGACCCTTTCAGTTCAAAATCTGATAAATAAAGTTAACTGCACATAAATTGCCATTTTTATGCGTAGTGGAGGGGGCATTAAGTTGTCCGTCTGTACGTCCCAAAATTGGTTTCCGTTCTCTGACTTCAGTTTGCCTCAACCAATTTGGGGGGCATCACTTTTACCGTTCTAGAGTTATGGCCCTTTACAAATGGAAAAATTGCTGAATTTTTTGTTTCCGTTCTCTAACTTTAGTTTGCCTCAACCAAATACTATGAAACTTATTCACAATGCTTATAACCACAAAACACAGATCCAGTTGGAATTTTGTTGGCGTCACTTTTACCATTCTAGAGTTATGCCCCTTTACAAATGGAAAAATTGCTGAATTTTTCAGTTTTCCGTTCCCAAATGTTATGAAACTTATACACAATGTTTATTACCACATAACTCAGATGAAGTACAAATTTGGGTGGCATCACTTTTACTGTTCTTGAGTTATGTCCCTTTATAACGTTATATGCAAGTGGGGGCATCATCTGTGTCCCATGGACACACTCCCCATTTATTTTTATTAGATTTGTGAATATTTTTTTCATTGGTTCGGGACTACATTCCTCAACATTTTATTTTAGACTATAATTTTTATATTTGAATTTACCATCAGTTAATCTTTCAAATTTCATTTAATAACCATGTCATCGTCTGCATCTGAATATTGATTGAATTTAGTTCAAAATGTGGTGAATCTATGAAATAAATTTTTATATAAAATCTGTTTGGCAGTTTATCTAAATGAAAAATTGTTTGATGCCCTGTTTACTTAGAAAAATATTGAATAGTATCAAATTTCATTTTGTTAGCTTAAATTTGTCGATATCTGAACTGTTATAAGGATTCATATACGCTGTATGATATTACTTGGCAATCCGAGTTTTGTGGTTTCCTTAAAAATGATCTGAAATTTTGAAGTTTGTTGTTTTCATCAACTTTATTGACGCAAGCAGAGATGTATTTATATTTTAAATGAGATGCAATGATCAGAAGAGATCAACTGAAACAGTAAAAATCTTAAGAACTAAATCAGCAAAACTGACTTTAAATTAAAAAAAATGGGAAATAGAGCCTTATATTGAAATGTGTAAAAGATCGTCTTTGTTAAATCTTACACTGGCATTAAATGATCAACTTTCTTTTACAATTATACAGGCTAAGAAAATTTCATTCAACTGAAAATAGAATTTTCTGAGCACAATGAATGCCTACTGATTTGAAAGAAAGAGGAAATATAATTACGGTATATATTTTCCTATTGATACTTTAATTGATGTTAAAATAGTTGAAATTGAAAAGGCAACCATTATATTTATATATTTAATTTTTTCTGTATTTGTAGGTCTGGCAGTAAATAAAGGAAGGAGACAATTTCGAACAAAAAATAATGACATCCTACCGGAAAATGATAATCTAATCAAAACATCATTAGCCATCATATACAACATTGTTATTTTGACATTATTGACTGATTTCTCGTAGAATCAGGATTTCAAATATATTTTTTTTTTGTAAATTTACAAAGATTGTAATTACTGTTTTGTAAAATGTTAAAGTTTTGAAATATATATTTGATATTATGTTGATAAAAAAAATATAAATTGGGATTAAAGTAACAAGTTTTGTTAAATTGAGAACTTACTACTTGCTGCTGCAAAGTACATATTATAGAAACTGAAAGAGAAACTGAAATGGAGAATATTTCCTAAGGCTTGATAGATATGAATGACTTCTATAGGCAGTTGTATAGTTATAGATGACTTTAGAAACTGATATGTTTTTTGAAACCCTTCAATAACCCTGAATCTGCCACTGTTAAGTATTATGAAATTAAATAAAAAATTGCAATTTACAAGTGAACCTAATTTTATAGTGTTTATTCTTACATTTATATTAATTTTCTTCAATTTTTTATACCCATCAAAAGAATTTTTAAGACAAGGCATAGCAACCTTGTTTTTCATTGTTGGCATGGGGGGAAAAAAGCAGTAAAAGGTTCAGCTCATTGTTAAAAGTTTTTTGATCTCATTCAAGATCTTAAAATCTGTATAGCAAGTCATATAAATTGGATTAAATTTTCAGTTTTAAAGATTTACTAATTATCGTTATTCAAATCTCAATTGAATAGAATATACTGTTAATTGTAATACTCATTATTATATTATTTATAACGCCAGAACTTAATTCTTTATTATTAATGAAAATCTGAAGATAACATAAGTGATCACTAAAATTAGTCACCTAAGATTCACTGTTAGGCTTCACAAATTTAGTCATTTCTTAACACTACAAACCAGTAAAGTCTGAAATGGCCTATATCTGTACTCGACTGTACTGATTTTTACTCGACCAGTCTGAATTGGTCTGAATTTTACTCGACATTACTCGACCCCAGTCTTAACCATACTCGACCGTACTGATTTGTACTTGACCCTTATCTTTGCCATTGAAAATAGTCTGAACTATTACTCGACCAGTCTGAAACAGTCTTAACCCATTCTCGACCTGTACTCCACCAATTTTTTCAGTCTAAACCATACTCGACCAAAGGTCTGAACAATACTCGACCAGTCTGAACCATACTTGACCAAAAAACCTATATTTTTTTTAAATGTTAGCTGTTAAAATTAATTTCTTTTTTTCTGACAATGAAAACAGCCACAATAAAATAAAGATATATATAAAAATATATTTTTACATCCTTACATGATTCTCAGATTTATCAAATAGAGATAGTTAAATTAAATTATCTTATATAATAATTTAATTATATTAATTTTAAAGTTTTAGAGTTTTGTTAAAAAAAAAAATTTCTTTTAACTAAAAACCACACCTTTACTGAGAGTAATAAAACCTTAATAAGGTGCTTCTTGTTTGGCATGTGTGTTTTTTTTTTTTAAACTTAATTTTCCTAAATTCCTAAAGAAAAACTATATAGGTTTCATGGTTATATACAATAGTTATATAATTATCTTTTTAATGAGGTAACAACAGCCAAAAAATCACTGAAATTGTTTAACCTTATATTAGAAATATATCCATTTTTGTTATAATTTGGGATATATTATATATAATATATATCAAAAGGGGATAAAAAAATTAAAGAAATAGATAAATTTTTTCTTCTGATTTATAAAGTAATACCTCCTGCTTGGGGCAAACTCGTTAAAAGATCACACCTGGTCAGAGAGTATTAATTTCTAATTAACATTCATTAAAAATTGCAACATCCTGTTAAACTTAAATCGCAAGGCCTTTCACTAGATAAGTAATACACGAGTTTAAGAAAAAAAGGGCTTTCTTTTTACCTGTAAAACACACATGTACTGAGATAAATAAACCTTATTAAAGTGTTTCTTGTATGCCATGTCTTTAATTTTGACAAAAGTTATTTAAATTTAATTGAAATAATTTTTTTCTGCAGCTTTGGAACACATTTCCTTTTTTAAATGGTTATCAAGGATTGCTATGGAAGTTCTATTATCATGATTATCTTAAATTCTTGGTTTTACAAAACAAAGGTGTTATTTTTTAAATTTATTAAGTTGCTTTATATACTATTTTAAATATATTTTAATAAAAAAAATGTTCACTGCATTATTAACTAAACTCAACTGACACCATAAATCTATACAAGGCTTAAGTAAATGGTGAAAATTGTCCAGTAAACATAAAATATATCTGAAACATTCAAAAAAATTTGAATAACATTGAAAATGTTAGTCCCAATTCGGTTTGAGATTATTTGATCAGTTTGTTTTATTTTTATTTTAAAGGTGATATATATATGTAAGTGTTGATAAATATGGTGTTGAATTTATATTATGTTTATTGTGAAATTTTGATTCAATATGCCATATTGAACATGTTGAATACATTTTGAATTTCAAATTGTTGTTCAAATTTCTAGCCAGGGGAAATAGCTGTTAAAAACAGTTCCTAAATTGATGAAATACAATAGATAGATACAAAAATTAGGTCTAGGTTGGTTAAGACTTAGTCGAGTATGGTTCAGACTAGGTCGAGTATGGTTCAGACTAGGTCGAGTATGGTTCAGACTAGGTCGAGTATGGTTCAGACTAGGTCGAGCATGGTTCAGACTCATATAAAATGGTTTAGTACTGGTCGAGTACAAGTTCAGACTGTTAAGTATGGTTCAGACTACAGTCGAGTATTATCAAGTAAATTTCAGACCAATTCAGACTGGTCGAGTAAAAATCAGTACAGTCGAGTACAAATATAGGCCATTTCAGACTTTTACTGGTTTGTAGTGTAAGAAACCATTACAGGGGATTACAGTAAACATGGTCTATATATGCTGTACATTTCTAAAAAGCCATTGAACATTATTCTTACTTTTATTTTCAAATTTTTAAACATTTTTTTTTTATTTTTAAGAAATTCCTGTTGCCAAAAATACCTTTATTTCTTATCATAATAATAATTATTATAAAATTAAAGCAAATGACATATGTTTAAACTAAAAAAATAAATCATGTTTCATCATGGCTAGTGAATATATTATTTTCATTTATAGAATCTGATATATACAATTGTGATTGAAGATTTTTATATACTTTAGATGACTATACTACATGTAAATATGATTAAGCTATGCAGGCATAGCATGTTATCAACCAATATTTTACCTGAATAAAAAAAAAACATTTCACAGTTTGTTTATTTTTGCTTTTTATGCCCCACCTACGATAGTAGAGGGGCATTATGTTTTTTTGTCTGTGCATCCGTTCGTTAGTTTGTTCGTTCGTTTGTTCGTTCTTCCGTCCGTCCGTCCGTCCGTCCGTCCAACCATCCGTCTGTCCCGCTTCAGGTTTAAGTTTTTGGTCAAGGTAGTTTTTGATGAAGCTGAAGTCCAATCAACTTGAAACTTAGTACACATGTTCCCTATGGTATGATCTTTCTAATTTTAATGCCAAATTAGAGTTTTTACCCCAATTTCACGGTATACTGAACATAGAAAATGATAGTGCGAGTGGAGCATCCTTGTACTATGGACTCATTCTTGTTATTTTTGCTTTTCTTACTGCCTCTGGTCTCATGGCCGTAAGCTCAACCTAAAGTGCAAAGGTTGTGGGATTAATCCTCAAATTAATCATCAGCTTGGTCAAACCAAAGACTTAAAATTTGGTATTTGGTGCTTCTCATCTGTTTGAGGTAAATATTAGCTTGATGTTAAGCAGATGTTATATCAAAATGGGATGTATATATAAATGTACATCAACAACAGTTCAATTTGTAACTCAGTGTCATTCCTCAGTTGTAAGTCATTTGGCTGCTAAGTGATAATTGCAAACGATTTACTTACATGTCATTCCTCACATCAAAGTGATTTGTGTGCAAACATTTTATTGTTGAGCCTGCAACATTTATGTTGCAAAAGCGAGACATAGCGATCCTAGATACCGGCGGCGTCAACATTTAGGTTCAGTCTGTGGGTAAAGTTTTTTTAGACATCAATCACTTTATCAAACTTTCATGGAATTTTATGAAATTTGGACAAAAGCTTGTTTATGGCCAACATACAGTGGATAGAGCAAATTTTGAAAATATTTATTTTCATTTTTAACCGGATTTTCGAAGGAAATATCGGTTATTAAAATGGTGACGTACGGCGGGCGTCTGGGCGGATCTACGGGCGGCTGCCAAAAAGTGTCAGCACAATAACATGAAAACACTTTAACATTTTTTTTTCAAATTTAAATATGTTGTTTCCTGGGACTTAATGAAGGTCTCTATTAATTTTCAAGATATTAGTATGTCTCCTTTGTGAGTTATTGCCATTTTTAATATCCAAAAGTGGAATTTTAAAATATTTTACTCTTATTATCGTTTTAATGACTAAGCATAATGTCTTATCTCACAATAAAAATTGGAGTGACAGATTTATTTGAAAATTATCTATTTCCTAAGTGGTAATGATTATAAGCTATATTATTAGACATTTTGAAGTTAATTACATTATTAATTATTAATTAGATCTGGGTTATATCTTAGCATATAATATCATTGAAGTGACAGATTTATTTGAAAATTTTCTGTTTCCTGATAAGATCTGTAGGACTGTATATATAAAGTTTGAAATTTACTTGTAGGACTGTATAAATGAAATTTGAAATTTACTGTTCATTATTAGACATTTTGTAGATAATTAAGTCTCCCTAAACCATATACATTCTTAACCCCACCCCCTTTCAATTTGAGAATGTGCTTTTATCTTGTAAACGGTTGAGATCCCCACCCCTAAACTATATATTCTTGTACGGGACAATAACACAAATCAAATGAAATATAGGGGAAGTCCAGGGGGGTCACCCCCTACCCCCTTCTTTTTGAAAACTTGTAAACGGTCAAGATCCCCACCCCGAAACCATATATATTGTTGTATGGGACAATAACACAAATCTAATGAAATTGAGGGGAAGTCCCCTGGGGTCACCCCTACCCCCCTTTTTTTTGAAAACTTGTAAATGGTCAAAATCTCCACCCCAAAACCATATATATTCTTGTATGGGACAATCAAACAAATCAAATGAAATACAAGGCGAGTCCCCTGGGGTCACCTCCACCCCCTCCTGTTTAAGAACTTGTAAACGGTCAAGATCCCCACCCCTAAACCATATATATTCTTGTATGGGACAATAACACAAATCAAATGAAATATAGGGGAAGTCCATGGGGGTCACCCCCCACCCTCTTTCTTTTCGAAAACTTGTAAACGGTCAAGATCCACACCCTGAAACTAAATATATTCTTGTATGGGACAATAAAACAAATCAAATAAAAAATAAAAGGTAAGTCCCCTTGGGTCACCCCCACCCCCTCCTGTTTGTAAACAGTCGCGATCCCCACCCCTAAACCATATATATTCTTGTTTGCAATAAAACAAATCAAATGAAATAAAGGGGAAGTCCATGGGGGTCACCACGAACCCCCTCCTTTTTATACGACCGCAAAAATTTTTGCGGTCGTATATTGGTATGACGTTGGCGTCGTCGTCGTCGTCTGGCGCCGTCCGGTGTCGTCCGAAGACACATTGGTTTTCGCACTCTAACTTTAGTTTAAGTGAATGGATCTCTATGAAATTTTACCATAAGGTTCAATACCACAAAAGGAAGGTTGGGATTGATTTTGGGGGTTATGGTACCAACAGTTAAGGAATTAGGGGCCAAAAAGGGGCCAAAAATAAGCATTTTTGTAACTTCCAGACATAACTTGTGTGTTAGTGTATGGATCTCTCTGACA